CCTGGGTTTGTTGGCACTCCCCTTCCTTTCCCACATCTCTCCCTCTCCCATGTTCCCCTGGAATAGTCAGTCCCATTGTTTTCTCCTCCAGATTGTTTATCCCACCTGTCTTATCTAGATAGATATGCAGGGACAATAATAAGCACAAAAATAAGACAAAGCAAAAGAAAACAAAAAACAAAACATCAACAGCAAACAAAGAAAAAGCCTATAAATAGTTCCAGGTCTGTTTGTTGACCTTTGAGTGTTTTTCAGTCCAGTCTGATGGGGTGCCGCAACCTGATCCCAAAGGATATTTTTGGTATTTCTCAGGGACTTCATTGCTTTGCTGCCCTTGCTGCTCTGTTGCATGCCCTTAGTGTTTCGCCCCAGTATGGTGGAGTTATATCAGGCACAATTGTCTCTAGTGTTTTCCCCAGTAGTGCTATGGGTCAGTGAGAGACATCGTGTCTCATGGTGGGGCCTCTACTCAAGTACTCCCTCAACGCAAGAACACTTTGTTCTTATAACCCAGCATTCTGTGATGCTCACCTTCCTGACACAATCGCTTAAGACAAAATGGGTGCATAAGTGAATGTGGTGAAGAAAGCTGATGGTGTCCGGCTAGCAAAAGCTATAGTATCTGGGGTCTTAAAGGCTTGAAGACAAACAAGCAGCCATCTAGCTGAGAAGCAACAAACAAACCCACATGGAAGAAGCACACCAGCCTGCATGATCACGAGGTGTTGATGGGATCAGGTATCAGGTGTCAAAGACCCAATACAAAAAAATCATATTGATGTGAAGGAGGGGAAGGGCAGAGTGGAGACCCAAATCCCATCTGTAGACAAATGGACATACCCTTACAGGGGTCACAAGGAAGAGATGAGCCAGTCAGGGTACAGTACAGCACTGACGAAACAAACAATTTTCCTCTAGTTCTTTAATGCTTCCTTCCCCCCACTATCATGACCCCAATTCTACCTTACAAATCCGGCTAGACCAGAGCATGTACACTGATAGACATAAGAGCTAGCAACACCAGGAAACCAAGACAGATAAACCTCTCAGGACCAATAATGAGATGAGTGACACCAGGAGGGGAAGGGGAAGGTGGGGCTGGGGTGGTGGGGAGAAGGAACCTATCACAATGATAGACATATAACCCCCTCCTAGGGGTACGGACAACAAAAAAGTGGGTGAAGGGAGACAGTGGTTGGTGTAAGACATGAAAAAATAATAATTTATAAATTATCAAGGGTTCATGAGTGAGGAAGGGTGCAGGAGGGTGGAAATGAGCAGATACCAAGGGCTCAAGTAGAAAGAAAATATTTTGAAACGATGATGGCAACATATGTACAAAGGTGCTTGACACAATGGATGAATGTATGGATTGTGATAGGGGCTGTAAGAGCCTCGAATAAAATTATTATTTTTTAATGGAGACTAATTCCTCCACCACTTTAAGGTCATTTATGGGAGGTCACAATGCATTGGCACTTGCGTCCCATTGGACATGACTCAGTCCCACAGCCACATCAAACTGCAAGGATTCTGGAACAACACAAGAACTTTCCCTACCAAACAATGAAAAAGGAACTCTAAGAATGCATAGGGAGAAACAGTTCTTTCATTAGTTCTTTCATTCTCCCCTATCCTACTTCATTTTTCTGCATTTTTCTGCATTGCATGTGTAAACCCTGGTGTACCTCCTGAGTCCCGGGGGGTTATAAGCAGCACACTCAACTGCTAGCCGAAAGGTCCACACAGAGGGGTTTCAGAATAGAAGACCTGGGGCTCTACTTCCCCAAAGTCAGCCATTGGAGACCCTGTGAAGCACAGTTCTACCCGGATGCACATAGGGGAGTCAGAATAGACACCCCAACAATGGAGGAGATTTGGGGTTGTGATTTTTTCCCTCTTCTTTAATTCTTTGTTTCACCAACCTAAATTATAAATTTCAAAAGGTGAAGAACTTTGTCTTTTGTTCACCACTGTACATAGTTTCTGGAAAAATGCCTGGGGACGGAAAAAACAATTGATAAGTGTTGAATTTGTGAAGAAATCGTTAGTCTCAGGGAAACCAACAAAAAGCCCAAAGCGTATAAGAAAATCCATTCAACCATATAGATCCAGTCCTGGAACACAATGCTTTGTTGAGTTTTGCTTGATTAGGAATAGATGAAACGTCTCTGGAAAAACTGGTGCATCCCTTCTGAAATTATTCCCTTCCCTTGTTTTGAAGAGATGGATTTAGGTGAAGTCTTGTAATAATCCCTTATGCCTAATAATGGAAGCAATATTACTTCAATAGTTTCTATCACATCTTTATTGTGTTCGTCTGGGATGACTAGAGAAACAAATCCAGAGAGACTCATCTATGGATATGGAAGAGCTTTATATACAAGAGCAATTGAATATTGAGAAAACATCCCAGCCCAGTCCCCATTAAGTCCATAAGTCCGATTGTAGCCCATATATCTGATACCAATCTATAAAGTCCTTTTCTGACTCACGAAACACATGCATTGACACCGAATGCAGGAAGATCACAGGTGCAAAGTCTTTTGGATCCAGTGGCAGTAGAAGCATCTCGGAGTTGGCAGGGGTCTCCACATGGCTCCTCCTGTTTTAGAAGTCTGGTTGCATCAGGGTAGGTCCATGTGGCTTCTCCAGCTCCCAGGGCGTAGCATCATGTGTCTTGTCAGTAGAGCTTTTCTCAGGGAGTGAGCAGAGAGAGAGAGGTGTCTCCCACCTCCAAGGAGGATACTAGAATTCCCAGAATTTTCAGGAGAAGACCATGCCCATACAGAGATCTCATTGGTTATTTCTGGATTGACAGACCAGACTCCACCCCTTCATGAATAATCCTCTGAAATTGACATCAGATTATGTAATTACCACAATTATGAATAGTAAAACATTGAGCCAATATAAATCAGTAATGTGACTAACTAACAAACAATGTGACAAATGGTGTAACCATTGTTAGATGTGGGAAGGGAAGTGCATTTGGGGGGAATGGTACCCAAGACACTGAAATCCTTTCTTCCATATAAAGAATTTAGCAGATACTCAATATAACTGGAAAAAGTCAAGAAGGAGCAGGCTACGTCTATTATTTAGGGCTATAAAATTAGAAGAAATACTTTAAAGATATTGAACATAGTTATTCTAAGGGCCAGGAATCAGGGATAGGAAGTATTGTATGGAATTTCTGCTGTTTTGCTTTTAAGACTTAGAAAATTACATCATTTCAAACTATGTATGTTTACATCTGACTTTTTAAATTTTCACTTGGTGCTCTCATTCCTTTGAGTTCCTGGTATATTTCAGATTTATTAGGAGCATTATTATGAGCTTTTCAAAGTCATGTTGGAATTGGCAATGGGATTTGAGAATGCACTTAATACAAAAAAGAAGGCCCAGTTGGTTGGCATTTGCCACATGTACACAAGCAGTCCAGTCCCTAGACTACAACCTCCAAAAATCCAAACTCACAGCCAATCCATTCTGACTCAGAGCGACCTTACTGGCCCTTTAAACCGGTCCTGCCATGGCCCCCAAAGCAAAAAACGGTAAAGCACCCAAAATTGTATAATTTCTGCACACTCCCCGGGACAAAAAAATTTACAGGTTGAAGCTCTAGTATGGCAGACTTGAAAGAGGCAGAAAGGACCTTTGAGGAGCCGGCTGCATTAGGACCGGGTTACTGATGGGACTGTGGCACCTCCACACACATTCAAAGCAACCTGCTCTGACGCCATCTCTGAGTGGGGCTCCAAGGACAAGACGCTTGGTTGCTGTACAACAGCACACTGACATCCTTCTGGAATGGGAGGATTGTGTTTCTGGCAAGTCTTTGACCCATTATTTTCTCCTGTTTGGGTTCCCTTTCCGGTTCACTGTAACTTTAAAAATTCGGATCTTTTCCAGTGACACTTACATGGCCAGGACTGAGTCAGGCAGAATCCATTCAAAGTACTGACAAATTCCTACACACGTGAATAGGATCTGGTTTGCAATCCATTTGTTATCTGCTATTACACCATATCTCACTTATTCACATTCACACACAAAAATACCAAGCTCATGAATTGCTGTGGAGTTGATTCCAAATTTACCGACACCGCATTTGCTTCAGCTCTATGGGTTTCCTTGGCTACACAGCAACTAGCCAGACCTTTCTCCCCCAAGGCTGCTGAGGGGGGCTGATCCTTTCATCAAACAGCAACCCGTCTGCACCACCCAACTCCCCTACTAGTGAGTTAGTTTTGACTCAGAGTCATCCTATAGGACAAAGTAGAACTACCCCTGTGGATTTCAGAGACTAACTCCATGCAGGTAGGAAGTCTCGTCTTTCTTCCAGTGTCTGATGGTTTTGAACTGTTGACCCTGTGCTTAGCAACCAACGTGTAACCCACTTGGCCAAAGGGTTATAAAGACAATGAATCAATCAGTAGTGACTCCATGACAGTGAGTTTGCACCAGCCAGCGCACAGGATCCCATTCCAGGACAACCACCAGGGATTACAAATCATCCTCCCTCCAAAACACTCCCTAGTTGTGTTTGCACACATCCATACCTCCAGACACCCCTCTCAATGGATATACAAGCATACACTGACTAACGCACAGGAACTTCATTTTACGCAACTGCCGCTGAAGCACATGAGGGGGTGGCTACACAACCGGACCGATTTCAGCATTTGAGTGAATTCTAATACCCTTTCAGACATAGGAGGCAACGAACCTGGAGCAATTCAAGGTGACCAGCATGTCTGCGTGACGCAAAATGCTCTTCCCTCAGAGGTCCTGGAAGCCAACAGCAAGTGCGGTCTTGAGGCCACGCCTCCCCGGCCGGAGGCGGGACACCCTCCTCCAGGCCGCGCCCGAAGCCAATAGCAAGTCTGGTCTTGAGGCCACGCCTCCACGGACGGGGGCGGGGCTCCCTTGGGGCTCCCTCCTCGAGGCCCCGCCCTCAGTCTGCGTCCTCTGCGGGAGCAGTCGCGGACGAGGAGTCCGGGAAAGGCCGTTAGCGGGCTGCCCCTCTCCGCAGCGCTGGAAGCTTCGCCATGCTCGCCCTCCGGAGCAGCCTGAGCAGGGTTCTGGCCGCGCGGCCGGCTGCGCTTCAGGTAGTAGCCGCAGGGGCGCCTCGCCAGGCGGTGGGGTGGGGTTCGGGGCCGCGCACCCTGACGCATGCGCCGTCCGCGCTTGGCGGTCTTCCTGCTGAGGTGACCCCGCGACTTCGGTGAGGAGCCAGGCAGTCTCTTGTCAAATCGCCTCCTTTGCGGCCGGCAGCAGTGGACAGTGGGCTTCTCTGGCTTAGGTGCCGGGCACTTGCGGCGCGGAGCGACCTGCTGGGTCGCCAGCAGGGTGAACCCTGTTTGGCGATTTCCGGTTGACGGGGCACCGTCCCCGGCTGCTCTGGCGGAAAGGGACCCGCAGCAGTCGTACCCGAACCAACGACCCTCTGTTAAGCGAACGGCACCGTGCCCGAGCATCTGCAGAGAACCCCGGAGGGGAGGCCCGAGGTCCGGCTGCGGATGAACCGGGATCGGGAACCTCCTAGCAAACACGAAGATTAAGAAATGTGCGCCACAGGGCAGCGCGGTTTAGCCGGGGCCATCCATCGGTTCCAGGCAAATGCAGCCCAGAGATTTTTGTTTGTTTGTTTTTGTTTCTGCCTACCTCGAGGTTCATTCAGACTTACCTGTAAGGGCAACTATTTCGGAGCAGATGCTCTGAAGACTACGAGAGGTTGACAGCACCGCCCCAGGGCAGGACTTGGTTCCTGTGCTGAGGGTGCCACGCGACTGGGCTGTGTTTCGTTTCTTGTCTCCCGGTCGCCGTGAATTGCAACTGGCTCGATGGCATCTCCTATCCCTCCAAAAACCCCGTCCTCAGAATTTAATGCTAAAACAGTTTGAGCCCGTTCTTGCCGCCATGGCGTCGATCCATCTGGTTGAGGATTTTACCTTCTCTTCTACAATATCAAGCATGAGGTTCATCTTCCCGTGACTGGTCCCGCCTGACAACATGTCCAAAATACAGGAGACAAAGCCTTGCTAGTTTCATTTGTTTCTTTCTTTTAAAAAAAATCATTTTATTGGGGCTTCGTACAACTCTTTCATCATAATCCATACATCCATCCATTGTGTCAAGCACATTTGTACATTTGATCATTCTCAAAACATTTGCTTTCTACTTGAGCCCTTGGTATCAGCTCATTTTTTCGCCTCCCTTCCCCCTCCCCCTCCCTCTTAAACCCTTGATAATTTATAAATTATTATTTTGTCATATCTTACACTCTTTCCTAAGGAGTATTCTGACTGGATTTCAAGACGGATTTGCTCTTCTGACAGTCCATGGTATTCAATATTCTTCATCAACACCATAAATCAAAGAAATCCACTCATTTATTCATTGCCCAACTTACTCATGACAGAATTGATTTATGGTGTTGGTGAAGAATATTGAAAATACCATGGCTTGGGTCAGGTGCACCTTAGGCCTCCAAGTGACATGTTTGTTTTTTAGCTTTTTTGCAGCAACTCAACTCACTGCCATCAAGCAATGCCGATGGGCTGTCATTTGGTAGCATGGGTTACATTCTGTTGAGTGGCACTTGTATCCAGATTCAAATTTGGCTGTAACATATTGTAATAAATCCGACTTCACCAATAAGGCCCCTGGGTGGTGCAGGTGGCTTGCAATAAGCTAGCATCCTAGAGGTTGGTGGCTCACACCCACCCAGCTGTGCCATGAAAGAAAGCTCTGGTGATGTGTTTCTGTAAAAGTCACAGCCAAGTAAAGCCCATGGAGCAGGTCTACTCAGTAACGTATTTGTGTGTTACATTCCCCAAATATTTAAATTTTCCTTGTCTTCCTTCAGGTGTGTTCATCGTTTGCCTCAGGCCCCAGACAGTGCGATGGGACATTCTATGAATTTCGTTCTTATTACCTTAAACCCTCAAAGATGAATGAGTTCCTAGAAAATATGAAGAAATACATTCATCTTCGGACAGCTCACTCTGAACTGATTGGCTACTGGAGCATAGAATTCGGAGGCAGAACGAATAGAGTGTTTCATATTTGGAAGTACGGTATGAGTCATCCACTTTAGGGTTCGATAAACAGATTTTAATTCTGTTAGCTATAACATGAGATTTATCTTGTAAATCTCTACTGTTGTAAATACATACAGGTAAAGTAAAACTTGTAGTAACACCTTTAAGAAGCTCTCCTGCTTGACCCATTATGTTATCAAAGAGAGGAAAGTGTGGATTCTTTTAGCTCAAATCATAACGTTTTGAACTAGACTTGGTCCTCAAGTTTTAAGAATGGTTTATTATAACAGTGGTTTATGAGAACTGAAGCAATGCTTTTAAGAACCCAAGTGTGGTAGTATTACAAAAGGGAAAAAAGAAATTATTTCCTATCATTGTACTTTTGATTGGATCTCTCAAGGTCTTAGTAGAAATAACTCAGGTCATAGAGCTTTGGAGAAGTAGAAAATGATAGAGGATTGCAGTTTACTTGTAAGGTCTCACCCAATTCTGAGACTAAATTGTTGTCATATTTAGGGGAGCACTTTTATCTCATTTCTATGCCCCAAGCTGCAGAAAATTGCTGTCATTATACTTAGGAGATGAAGACAAAGGAATCAGATATTCTCCCCACATTAAAACTGACCTACCTCTAGCTTAGTAATAGAATAAGTTACAGGAAGACCTAGAATATTTAGTCCTTTAGTCTCGGTGCCTGGCAATCAATATGACTTGGTATTATCCAGAGCACTTTTAATAATTTCATTTAATACTTGGTGATCATATCCAAAGTTAATAGACATGCGTACTTTAGTATAAAAAGTACTCATTCTACTATGGGATACCCAAAAAATCCTGGATTTCCCCCACCCCCCCACCCAAAGCAATGTATTTACATTTTTTTATGAAACAACCTTATCACCTTCAAAGTACGCTCTAGTACACTTAATACTGTGTATTAAGTGGAATCTTCGAATCCATTCTTGGAAACATTTTCCAAACTCATCTGTTTGGATGGCTGACAGCATCTCCCTCGTTTTTTTCTTCACATCTTCTGCATCATCAAATTGCTGTCCTTTCATGTCCCTCTTCATTCGCAAATACAAAAAAGTTGAATGGAGCAAGGTCAGGTGAGCAGTGTGTGGGGCAAGAGGCATGCTGTGTTTTGCCAAAAACAGATGGCTGCATGAGCAGGTACATTGTTGTGGCAAAACCAGTCCCCATCTGCCTCAAATCAGGCCTTTTTGTCTCACACTGTTATGCAGTCTTTTCAGAACCTCTAAATAGAGAGTTTAATTAACAACAGCCTGACTTGGGAGGCTGAACTCCAAATGCACTATCCCTCTCACAACAAAAACACAAATGAAATCGTCTTGATCTTTGATTTCACTTGGTGAAGTGACAGTGGAATCTTCCACTGGCTTGATTGATGTTTGGGTTTGGGGTCGTAAGAATAGCATCATGTCTGTTCACCAATGACCTTGGGAAAAAAGGCTGTTTGGAGCTGCTCATTCAAAGAATGGCATGTCTCCAGTTGATGCTCTTTTTCCTGGTCAGTCAGAACCCGAGGCACAAATTTCACAGCAACCCTTCTCATTCCCAAATCTTCTGTTAAAATTCGCTGAACCGAGCTCCGAGATAGTCCAGATAACTTCCCCATCTCTTCAATGGTCTGTCGTCGTTGGTCTTGGAGCAGAAGTGCATGAATTTTGTTGACTTTTTTGTCCATTCAGGAAGTTGATGGATATCTAGAACAAGGTTTGTCACCAATCGACATTTCACTCATGCACTTGAGTTTTTCCCATAGTGCTGTCTTTATAAGCTGTGTTCAACATCACAAAAGTTTTGTGGCATTTTTCCCAAGTAGGAAAAAAAATTTCACAGCCACACGCTGTTCTCTTAAATCTGCCATCACAAAAAATGAGGTTCAAGCAAAACTGCTTTTACGAAAAAACTCAGTGACCAGAGAGAACCTTCCCAGGCAATGCCACTGGGTGCACTAACTCAGAGTGAGTTGATCTATGCTCTACTAGCATGAAAAATGCATACTATAAAAGTTTTGTTCCACCCAGTGCAGTTCTGTTTTGGGGGGGGTTACCCCTCATATTCTTAACATGACCATACCATAGTATTTTTCCCTCATATAACTCAATCTCTAAAGTATATACCTGATCCCTCGCATAAACACTTCTACCATTCATCTTATGAGGATCTAATAGTATTTCAGCCTTTAGGAATTTGCATTTTTATATACCTGTTTGTGTAATATAAACAATAAAGTGGGTGACAATAAGAGAGGTGGCCTTACAGTATATACTTGAGTATAAGCTGACCCAAATATCAGCTGAGGCACCTAATTTTACCAAAAAAACTGCATTAAAAATGTGCTGAAAAACTCGGCTTATACAGAAGTATATACAGTATTTGGAAAGTATTTGTGGAAAGAAAAAGAAGCCTAAAGTGTGCATCTTACTTTTATTTATGCTACATTTAATTCAAAGTGTACCTTAATCTGACTGTTCCCCGAAACCAGGACCAAAAGAGAAAAACAACCTGTCTCTAATCTGGCACTATAAATTTCATGCATTTATGAAATTAATTTTAAAAATTGAGGACTAACTAGATAACAAGTACTGTTTTCCTCAATTCATTTAATTATCATAGCAACTTTGGAGATGAACATTGTATTTTTATCCCCATTTCATAGATTAGGGAACTGGTACACAAAAAGATTCAATAACTTAAGTGTTAGAGCCTAAAAATTTCATTTTTTGGCCTGCTAACTAATAGTATACATTTCTATTCCCGTTAGATACTGAGCAACCTGAGGGCAAATAGCACATCTGTTTATCTTCATCTGTCTGGGAAACAGTGAACTCTGAAGGCCAGAGTTGGGTAGGACTGCCTTATTTCTCTGGGTCTTGGAAGTTTTCCACCTCTGACTGGGAGAGTCTCACCATTCTATCGCTTCTCAGTGGAAGTTACTGGGTTTTCCTTTTCTAACAGGTTTCTGCCTTCTGCAGGTTCTAGCTTTCTCTGGTTTGACTCTATAGTACAAAGTCCCTGAATGTCTGATCTATGTATGTTTACTGAATTTAACGAAATCTCACAAGAGCATAGTACATTTTGAAATTTAACATTTTTATTTTTCTCTTTTTCTCTACATAGATAATTTTGCTCATCGAGCTGAGGTTCGGAAAGCTTTGGCCAAAGATAAGGAATGGCAAGAACAATTCCTCATTCCCAATTTGCTTCATATGGAAAAACAAGTGTGTGACATTACTTACCTGGTACCATGGTGCAAAATAGAAAAGCCTCCAAAAGAAGGTAGATAGTTCCTTCGTCACTGCAGATTGATATCAGAATAAAACATCTGAAGATTTTAACCTATGAAAAGTAAAGGTCCACAAGGAAAAAACAGAAAGTAAGGCGAGATAGTCAGACTTGAAAATTTGCAGTTTATCTGCATTCATGGGGTCCCTGCCCTGGGAGTAAGAATCAACTCAGTACCAATTTGCAACAAGACTATGGTCATTGTTGAGATAAAAATAGATTTGACCCCTTCTAACCAAACGTGGACCCAGTACTGTCGAGTCTATTACAATTCATTGGAACTCTAGATCAGAATCGAACTGCCCCATAGGGTGTTCATGGCTGTCAATCTTTACAGAAGCAAACTGAAGTGTCTCCTAGTGAGCAGCTGATGGGTGTGAACATCAAACTTTTTGGTGGTCAGCTGATTACTTTCAACACTGTGCCAGTAGGGCATCTCTTAAAATACTGTGCATCAAATAGTGAAATATTTTTCCAAATGGGATCTTACTGATTTTTTTAAAGCTTGAAAAAAAAATCCAAACTTATTGTCATGGAGTCATTGCTGACCCATAGTGACCCCCTGTGAGTTTCTGAAACTGACTGTTTATAGGAGTAGAAAACCAGTTTTTTCCTCCTGAGAGCTTATGGTGATTTCAAACTGTGGACCATGGCGATCGCAGCCCAATGTGTAACCACTACACTACCCGGGCTCCTCTGTTTAGCTATGTTTTATATATAAAGGTGAAAGGATGAGGAAGGCTGAGAAGTTGGGAATTGGGAGCAGGGAAAATGTTGGTAGGTGAAAAATAGATATTGACAGGGGGACATAAGCATAGGAGGCCCCTGGGTGATGCACAGAATTAGTGCCCAACTATTAAAGGTTAGCGGTCCCAACACACCCATAGGTACCTTGAAAACACAGTCTTAGAAGATCTGCTTCCAAAGATGTCAAAGTCTTGTAAGACCACAGAGTTGGTTTCTGCCCAAAGCTTCTCTTGCAGTGGAATCAATAGCAGACAACAAATATGAGTGAATCCGGAGGTGAAAATGTTGATGTACTTGGCTCCTAACTGAAAGATTAGAGGTTTAGTGGACCCAAAGGTACCACTCTACCTGTGAAAATCAGCCCTCAAACACTAGGGAACACAGTTCTTCTCTGATGCACTAGCGGTGTTTTAGAGAAACTTCTGCTTATGTTGATTGACTTGCCACTGGCATCAGACTAAATGTGATTAGAAGATGCTTGATTATTTTTTGAAAAATATTTTCTCCCTACTCTAGGAGTCTATGAACTGGTTACTTTTCAGATGAAACCTGGTGGACCAGCTCTGTGGGCTGATGCATTTCAAAAGGCAGTTAATTCCCATGTGAATCTACAGTACAACAAACTCATTGGAGTTTTCCACACAGAATATGGAGAACTCAACAGAGGTAAACTTTTCCTTTCTCATCTGATAATTGCAACGGATGTTGTTATCTGCTAATCAGCTTTTATATTTGTTTTTCTTTCTCATTATGGTATATGCCCCAATTTTTAGCTCTTTGTAATTTTGACGACTCCAAAACTCTTTCACATCTAATTTCTTTACATACTATGAAGCCTTTTTTCAAATGCTTAACTGCTTGCTTTCCCTGGTGCATCAAAATGATGATATTTTTTTAAAAGCTAGAAGGAGTCTGAAGAATCTACCTTTTTCATTATATTTTTCTCTGAATGTACTTTTATTGATTCAGAACAAAACAGAACATCTTTATGAAGCAGAAGTAATGTACATTCTCTGTAGCTGTTAAAAGTAGACAAGCACAAAGGAAAAAAATACTCATTTCCCACTGCAGTGTTAAGAGATAAGTCTCTTTGGTCTGTTTCTTCCTAACTTATTTATCTATGAAGAGGCTTCAAAAAAGTGTGATCCAACTGTTCTCCAAATGCATAGAGGCCCAGTTAGGATCTGATGACGTTTGTAACCTGGAACTTCCTTATATGTGTGTGTTCTTACTTAGTTATACTGTAGGGCAAGAAAGGCTGGGAATCTTTGTAATGATGTTAAAGCTGCACATACACTAAGTGAAGGTACTTGGGCTGAAGAATTTGTTGCGAGTAAGGGTTGATTCAAGGAACCCTGGTGGTATTTTCAAATAAACTTTGATGTGCTAACTGCAAGGTCAGCAATTCAAACCCACCATAGGAGGCTACCTGCTCCTATAAAGATTTAGAGGCTCGGAAAACCCTCTGTTGGGTTGCTGTGAGTCAGAAAGGACTTGGTGGCAATAGGTTTGGTTTTGGAGTAGGGGTTGGTTCAGTCATTTGAAAGTCGGGCAAATTTACATAACGCTCAGCGATGATAGTCAGCTGTGCTGCTTGAATGTGTGTGGCTCCTAAAGGTCTCTCACTGAGCCTTTTCTGTGAGTCTCCCTTCCTAGGACTTCGACCTGTGATTTTCCCCTTCCCAGTTACTGTTTTGAGTCACCCAAACTGTAAAAAATGCTGTTCTGGGCCTGTTTGGCTTCATCAGCCACGGTAGAACTGATTTAAAGGCCTGTATTAAAGAGCCAATAGGAGTTGTCCGTAAGTCAGACATTCCTAACTCGGGGACTGCCTCTTTGTGAGTGTGTATGCGAATGTATATGTGAATGTATATGTGTATATGAAGTGGCTTCAAAATGGTCATGGGCAAAAATGGTAATATTTTTAACCTAGAAAAGAAATACAGATAGAGAGACGCATGTAAATATAGTATTAGAAGATCAAGAAAAAATAAGTAATCATATACTTCCTAGGTTCATATTGGGTTAATTTTTTTCCCCAGAAAAATTTGTCAATATAAACAAAAACCTTAGTTTTTGTGTGTGGGTTTTGCCATTGTCTTCTCCAGCAATATTACTTCTAGAAAATATGTATTATGGTGTACATGTATAGATAAGGAAAATTTCAAAGAATATAAATAAAATATTTAGTACCACCTGTATATCTAAGTTTCTATAAGGACAAATTAATTGTCATTAAAAATTGATAGTATTGACATAGAAAATACTTACATTGTTTAGTACAGGCATCCTCAAACTGAGGCCCACGGAAGACATGTATCCGGCCCACCAGGTGGTTCTGCCCCATTTGTTTTTTTACTTCAAAATAAGATGTGTGCAGTGTGCATAGGAATTTGTAAATAGTTTTTTCTTAAACTGTAGTCTGGCCCTCCAGCGGGTCTGAGAGACAGTGAACTGGCCCCCTGTTTAAAAAGTTTGAGGACCCCTGGTTTAATAGATGCTTTTACCAACACACCCTACAATAACATTAATCACATTAATCTGAATGGAACACACACACTCAAGTTGAAGTGAAGGGGAATGGAACTACACAATAATTTTTATAGGTTTGATAAGGGATATTTTTATATACGAGGCTGTCTTCCAAAAGTTCATAGAATAATAGAATCAAAGATTAACATATAAACTTTATTTCTCAACAGAAGCTCCATCAAATCACATACCATATTGTAGGTATTACCAGCCATTTAGTCCATTCTAAGAACGGAGGGTCTTGGGAATTTGACTACATCAATGGTTTTATATTTGTCTGTTAGATTTTTGTTCACTGTTAACTGAAGATGAATGGCAGGTGCCCTTTAAAGATTTTCTAAAATAAGGAAAGAAAAAGAAGGCAGGAGGGGCCAAATAAGGACTATAAAGTGGAAGCCTACTGATTCCCATTAAAACTCCTGCAATATTGCCCTTGTTTTATGAGGGGAATGAGCAGAAATGTTAAAGACTTTCGATGAGGTTCTCCTGGATGTTTTTCTGCAATGGCCTGGGCCAAATTACTAAAGACACTCAGAATGAGCAAACTTTTATCGTTCTCCCAGAAAGTCAGCAAACAAAGTGCCTTGAGCATTCTAAAGACCATTGTCATGATCTTTGCTCCTAACCAGTCCGCTTTTGCCTTCGCTAAAAATTTCCACCTCTTGCTAGACCTTGTTTTGATTGTGCTTTGGCTTCAAAATCATGCTGCTAAGGCCATGATTAATCTACTGTTACATTTTTCCAAAGAAAGGGCATCAGGCACAAAAAAAAAAGGCTTCAGGATCTTGATCCCTCTTGTTTAAGAATTTTATTGAAAGCTCTGCTCTCATCTGCAGCAGATCTGGGCACAATAGTTTTGTTACCCAGTGAGCAGAGAGTTACCTCAAGTTTAATTTTTTAGCCAGAGTTGTGTGAGCTGAACCAATTGACCTGTCTACGATGCTGGCTATTGTTTCTGCTGTTAATTGTCACATTTCCTGCTGTGGACTTCATCTTCAATATCGTCCAGTCTCTTTTTAAAACCAGTTATCCACTTGGAAACTGTGGATTTCTTTGGGGCCTTGTCCTCATAAACTTTTCATAAAGCACCAGTGAGTTCCCCATTCTTCCACGCAAGTGTCACTATAAATTTGATGTTTATTCTTGCTTCACTTTAGCATAATTCAGGCTGCTCTTCTAGAGGATTTTTTTTTCAAACTCTGACGTCTTATCCTTCTCAGTGCTTTAAACAAGATCCTGTTCAGAGGTATTATAACAAGTTAGTATGAGTTTATTTTGGCCTCCAAATATTTTGAAATCCATGCCTGGTTTTTGAGCTGTTTGATGACCCCTGGTATATCCCAGCATAGAGTAGCATACAGGGGACAAGTCTTGTGACAGCGTCTTGGCTTTAACCAAACACCAGGAGGTAATGAGTTGCTGGGCTAAGGGTTCATGACCTTAATCTCAGAGGACACTAAGGTCAATTGGCATAGAAACTCCAGAGAGGCAGTGATCTCAATCCTACTTGTGTGAGTAGCAATTGAGGTCATCAACGCTGGTAAGTGGCCACGTGTGGGTGCAACTATTGGTCTTTTCCTATCCAGTGCAGACAGTAGGAAAAAACCCAAAAAAAATCGAAACAATTATTCCAAAGGATTCATAGGCCATGTGAACCCTCGCCTATACAACTCTGCAAGCAGAAGATTCTGTCTTCAGCCGTGTTACTTTATTTCCACTTCCTTAGCCTTCTCAATAAAACCAGTTTGATGGTGCCTGGTTACCACTGTTGACCGCTCTCATCACAGTAGGAGATTCTGGATAGAATGGGAGTAAAATGTGGACCAAAACTCAAAATCATAAAAGAGAACAGGCTTACTGGTCTGATGGAGTCTGGTAGAACCCCAAGACTATGGCCCTTCGACATCCTTTAAGCCTGGAGGTGTATGCCCCTCTGTGACTCCACCTGTCCTGAAACAGGAGGTAAACCTCTAATGTGAACAGTGGCATTCAGAAGGCACCCACCAGAGGACAAGCAGCCACACGAGGTCAAAGGGGCAGCATCTGCCCAGGGACACCTGTCAGAAGGGACGAGAAAGAAGGAAGACGGGAAATGCCAACACAAAGATGAAAGTAGAACGGGTTCATGAGGTACAACTATGCTCTTCTCCCGGGCAGTGCAAAGGTGAAGACAATCAGGGAAACAACAACAATGTCATAAAACAAAAAGTAAAAGTCCTGTTACTAAGAATAGTATTAGTATAACCCAAACCTGATTTTATGCTTTTTAAAGAAATAGATTCATTATTGAGATGTCTTCTTTGAGAGGTTAAGATTATATGTATTTTTTAATCCCTTTCTTAGGGGAGATTATGTGTATTTTTACTTTCTTTGTATCGAAATTGTTCGACAGTGAACCCAATTTTTTTTAATAATCTTGCTTTTTATAATAGAGTAGAAAGTTATAAAACTTGGTTAGCTTTGATTCTGTTTTCAGCTGTGTTACTTTATTTCCCTTCCCAGCCTACTCTTCATCAATAAAACCAGTTCGTTTAATTCATAAATTTATTTCCCAAATCTCTGACAATTGCTCTCAAATCTTGACAGTAAAATATTTAATGTTAACCATTTTTTACTTAAATAACAAGACTTACTATCTTTGATCTATTTTTCTGTAGTTCCTATCTTCTTTAGAATCTATTTTTGGTTTCTTTCTGCAGTTCATGTTCTTTGGTGGAATGAGAGTCCAGATAGCCGTGCAGCTGGGAGACATCAATCTCATGAGGACCCCCGAGTCGTTGCAGCTGGTAAGCTAGTTGACTACGCATGAATTATTTTTAGAACATTCTTGATTAAGTCATCAATTTTACGTGTCTTATGATTTTTTTTCCTAGTCCGGGAAAGTGCCAACTACCTCGAATCACAACAGAACATGCTCCTGATTCCTGCATCCTTTTCCCCGTTGAAATAGTTCCCTGCTGCGATGAGACATGTCACTGAGCATTGTCTGAGCTCTGTGCTGATGGTGCTTAACTTCGTCTAGGAGCTGCTTTCTTCCCCTTGAATAGGTGCCAAGTTAATTGGCTATGTCCCTTGCATTACTGAAAGCTACCCTTGTCCTTGTCATTTACACTTCAGGAAATCGGTCTCTTCATTTCTTCTGTCGCATTTCAATATCTGTTCTACATTAGAAATAGCTATCTTGCAACATATGTATTAACTCCCAAGTTACAGCAAATTTAAAAAAAAAAGCATAGATCCAGGAATGGGTTTGGGGCTCGCACTAAATCCCACCTCCAACTTAAGAACAATTAGTTCTTAACATCATGACCCTGCTCAATACTGTCCCTCAGAAAGGGAACACAGAAGATACGTGTGTTAATAGCAAAAAAGTGGCAAAGAATTTAGATGGTGCCCAGCTATCAGATAATAATAGTGTCTGGGGTCTTAAATGCTTGTCTCCAAACGAGCAGCGATCTAAGTGAGATGTCAACTAAGTCCACATGGAAGAAGCACACCATCACCAGTTGCTGAAGGATTAGAATCCAGATAACCCGAAGTCAAAGGAGGGATCAGTGTCAGTCTAAACTTGAGAATCTGATGTGCAGAAGGCAGTGGAGGACGTGGGAGCCCAAGATTCACTGGTGGAACTACGTAAGAAATAAACCTCCAGAGAACTCCCCCCATCTGAAATTGAGGGGTGGGAGGAAAGTGGTCACTTAACAATGAGTGCGTGGGAGAGAGGAGTTTAGAAGATGAAAGGCATAAATCTGACCTGAACAGTTAAAACTTTAGATTCCCCCTTTAAAGCAGGCGGAGCTCATCTGGTTTCCACATTTTTCTGTGTTTTTGGTTTGTATTGTTCAGTTTTTGTTTGTGCATATTAGAGTGTATCTCAGCGGTTTTATGTAAATGGAGGTCACCCTCATGAAGCTGTATTACATGCTCTTCCGTTTTTCAGTATATGAAACCCAGGAATGATGAACCTAGAGGGACAGCCAGTAGAATAAGGGGTTGGGGGGAAGGGTTCAGTAGTGGTGGGAGGTAAAAGGGAGATGATGTCAAGGAGCCCATGTAGAAGATTGTTTGGAAACTGATTGTGGTAACAATTGTACAATTCTACTTGACATGATTGAAATACGGAATGATATAGGTATTGAATCCCAACTAATAAAATTAAAAGATTTGAAAAAAAAGCAATAGCTACCATGGCTTTGTGGTCTTGATTTCTTCACCATCATTTTTAAATATTACTTTTATAATTTCATAACTTCCTTGATGAAATATTTTCTTACATTACAATGTTTCCATGCTTGGGGCAACATTTCAGAATTACTTATATACAATCTACCTTTTCAGGGTATTTGTTTTTCTGAGATTTTTTTTTAAATTCTTTGTTCAGTAAAGTTTGATGTATAGTATCAAATAAGATTCATAAGAATAGTAGATCAAATACATTTCTTTACATTAGGAAAGTATATATAATTTGAGGCATCTGTATTCATTATGGTTTTCACATTATTAGTCACGCTAATGTTGAAAAGTATGTAATTGCGTCTTTGTATTAAAAAAACTTCAAAGGCCTGTTGATGTTATGCTGAAATGTGTATATTTATAATAAATTTTACGAAGTTTTACTTCATTTTGAATCACTATTTAGCACAGATTCTTAGGACATGTACTTATTTCAAAGAGATTTTTATGGTTAGGGACATGCTTACTCATATAATTAATTTTGTGTTGTACACTTTTCTAGACCTGTTGCTATAGGCTAATGGCAGTCATAAGCTACCCTTGTTATTCTGTGATAATTTACATCAAGAAAGTAGTAGGCCTAGACACCAGGCGAGTTTCTTCAGCACCGTCACAGGTCCAATGGAGCTTCCTGTGAAACCTCTGATTTCTGTTTCAGTTGTTTCGTTTCTTTCAGAATTAGTTTGGGTATCTCCACGTTTTCCTGTTAGTCTCTATTTACATCTAGATTATATTTTTAAAGCATAATTAGCTATGTGTAGAAATCTTGGAAAACAAAGTGTATCACCTATCTGTCCTCCAGGACTGGCTTATCTGAGTCATATGCAGTCTGAGGCTGCTGTACAGGCTCCATGCTAAGGCTGGCTCCTCCGTCTATACACTTGCTTTCTCAAGGATGTAGCTTCAGTACTTCTTTCTTCTATTTCCTGAATCCAGCTTTTCCTGCTCTAGGTCCTGATCAAGATACAGACAGGCTATTTTTCCCAATCATAAAAATTAAACACTTCTCACCAGCTACTGCACCATATTTCCTTTACAGTTTGAGGAGGCTTCAAAAAGTTCATGAAAAGTTCTGGTTTTCCAAGAATATTTTGAAGCCACCTCGTGTGTAATGCAAAAGTATAAATGCAGTTCCATTTTCTTCACATTTTCTACTGAACTTTAATTGCTCCATCAGGCAACTTGCTCATCAGCTCCTTTTTCAATCCTCACTTTATAATTGACCTTTCTTTTACAAACACTTTAGTTACTCATTTTGTCCTCCAAAACATTACCCAAAGCCTTCTTTTCTCAGCTGCTGCTTCATCTCCTCTTTGTTTTGACCATTGGAACCACTATTAGCATGTGAGTAACCAGGTTACCAGTTCGAAACCACCAGCTGGTCCAGGGGAGAGAGAGAGGCAGCTTTCCACTCCTGTAAAACGTTAGTCTCGGAAAGGGTCACTATGAGTTGGAATCAACTTAAGTTTTGTCTTGACTTCCTAGGTTAGGGTATTCCAGGACCAAATTCCTTGACCTTGTTTTCGTTATATTCACTTTGTAGGTCATGTTTAAATACAACCTAGAAGCTGACAACTCTAGTCTACACCTTATCCAAGTACTTTAACGTCTTCACCTGAATGTTTAATCATTATCCAGATACCCTATCCCAGTTAATGGCAACTCTCCATTTGCACAGATCAAAATAACTTCTTGGTCATTTTGACTCTTTACTCTCTGACTTCATTACATTATTTGTTGGCAAATCCCAAAGATCCAGAATTTGATTATTCACATCCTTTACTGTCACCATCTTGGTTCAAGCCAATCACCACCATTCCTCACCTGGATTATTGGGAAGGCTCTAACTCATACTCTCTCCGTCCACTCCCCATCTGTTGGTAACCACAGTAGCCAGGGATCTACAACAAGCCCGGCCAGGCCCCTCCTCTACTTAAAACTTCCCAGTAACTTTTTATGCTATTTATAATGATCATTCAAGCCGTGTGGTGACTTTTAAGTCCCAAATTGTCTCACCTTTCACAATACCTTCTATTTACTCCCTTCTCAGCATCTGATCTGGCCATGAATATACCGTGCACATTTGCTTCAGGGTCAGTTCCTTGCCCCCAGACATCTGCATCGAACACTACCTCTCCTCTTTCAAGTCTTTGCTTCATGAGGACTTAACTGCTCACACTACTCAAAATCACATCACACAACCACAGGAGCCTCCATCACGGTCCCCTGCCTTATTTTTTCTGTTACTTATAATATTCTAATTGGATGATGACCGGAATGTACATTCCATGACTGAGGAGATATTCCTAAGTATTTGCTGATTAAATGAACATGAGATTTACATTTGAGTTTAAACAATAAAAAAACCCTATTTCCTCCACATGTCATATTATACTATTATAACCAGGCCAGTACATGACATGGCTGTTTTAGAAGTACCTCACTATCCAGACTGGACGGTATCCCTGGAAGACATAGTAAATGTCTCATTAAAGTTTTGCTTCTGGGTCCAATTAATAGATAAAAATTATATATAGCACATTGGTTATGAAGATAATTCCATTAATTGGGCTTCAATATGAAGGTATTTGAACTTTCTCTTTTGAGGAAGAGAAACTGATTTGCAACCAATGGCTTCGCCCCTGCCACATAATTTCCAGGGCATAAGCAAACTTGTTCCTTATAGACTCAAGCCAGAACTCCAAAATCAGCACCAGGTTTTAGCCCTCTGAAATGACTTCTGTAGGTCACCAAGGACCATTCTGTCAGAATATTCAATGATCAATTCTCTACCTTACTCTTCTCTTCAGCACTGTTGGACACAATTAACCATGCCTGCCGTATTCAAAAGAGCCCTGGTAGGTAGTGGGTTTGATGTTGGACTAAAAACCTCTTAAAGGTGCTTAACCCCAGTTACTCAACGCAGCTGAATCACCTAGATGCAAAACGTGCTTTTTGCTATAAGGAGTTTCCACCATTCACAAATGGTCAATTAAGTCTTTTCTAACGTCTTGATCCAAACAGCTCCCCCTCTGTGCTTCCTACTGTGATAGCCTTATGACCCTCGAACAGCAGATGGTGCTACGAATGCATGAAAGTAAATCTGTGGACCAGCAGAACGACACCGCTTTATTTCATGACTCATGACAACGTAGAAATATGCCTTTTTAATACTTCATATAAAGTTATTGACAATACAAATTTTTTTCCTTTTTAATGAAAATGATTTAACTTAGAAATCTATTGTGAAACTTTTGTCTAGTTTTGCAATCCTTAGATATTCCAGTGCAAAAATAGACCGCATAAAGTGCTTTGAATGAAGGACCAATGATAAAGAAAAAGCACAAAAACATAGCTTGATCCTAGGGTTTAAGAAGGGACAATAGCATACTTCATCCTTATTGGAAATATAACCATTCTATACAATAGGATGCAACAATTTTGAAAAGGAAAAAACAAGAGCATGTGACTGTAGTACTCCATTACCAGGAAAAGGAGCCCTAGGGCACAGTGCTTACACACGCCACTCCGCCCCCTCCCCCCCACTCCCAAAGGTCAGTTTCAAGCCCACCCCTGGCTCCTAGCAAACTACTCCCATACAGATTCCAGCCTAAGAAAGCCTGTGGGGCAGATGTGTGTGTCACAGGCGGTCACTGCGAGTCAGTCGACTCAATGGCATCTACATAACAATAGCATCTTTAATTGTAACCAGGGTACAAATTAATCTCACTATCAAAGTGGTTCAGTATTATAGGACACATGGCTCTTTGGAACAATTTTACCTGATATATACAACCACGAGAAGAAAATGTAGACCAATCCCTTTAGTCAGTGATTACAGTGACTGAGTGGTACACAACATTTAATAGTTACAAAGCATACGCTTTCATAGTGAAATACAGTAGTTTGAGGTTTCGTTGTTTGTTAACAATGAAGTGTGCTGGGCATTTTATCTAAGGAGGGCTTTTTCGTTGTTATTGTCTCATGTTTTTTCTCATATTCACAGTTGTTTTGTTAAAACAAGGTTTCCAAAATGTCCCAAAGAAGCTACAGTAGAAATCTTTCGAACATTATTTTAGCGTTTCTGAATCTCACATAGTTCTATTTCCACAGAGAGTATGAAAAATTGTACTTGATTGTGCTAGCAAAAAAAAATGCCTACCATAATTAGGTTTACACAGAAAACTTTTAAAGGTTAGCATCAGGATAGTTGAGATCATAAGTTCCCAAACTCATTTCATGATAGAGTAATACTAACTGAAGAAACAAAATCTTTGAGATTGTCAAGAGGTTTTAATGGGTTGTCTTAACATCTGCAAAACCATTTACACAAAGTTACGACAATAGCATAATCACCAGTTGTGTTTTCAACAAGTTTCCGCGCTGCCAATTTCTCTGAAAGAAATCACTGTTTCGCCTGTGTCGCTTGCACTTTCTTGGTATTTGCAATTATTTTCCAAAAAATGGACTCCTGCCCAAGAGCTTTATAAACAACCAATATCTGTAAGCCAGTGAACTGAATCCCATGGCACAAGAAATCTACCAAGATCCCCTATCTCCAAACACCACCTTCAGCAACAGCTCTCAAAAAATCCTTGCTTAATAGACTGAGGTTAAGAGTATTTTAAATGGCTTCAGGGAAACTCCAATCTACCACTGTCCTGAGACCTTGACCAACACTTTGCTTTCAGACTATCCTTTTATGAGAAAATCGAGTGCAGCAGCATGGCCATACGCCTCTGTGCTGCCAGGTTCTACAGAGAGTCCATTCTAAGGTTTCAGGAGTCACTGACAAGTCAAAACTCCAAATAATACTAAAAGTACAATTATTTTGTCAGAATACAACTCCATCTTTTCATATTCTACATTAATTCAAAAAGCCAGAAACAATACTACACTTGAATCAAACACAGGTCTTGAGATGCAGTGTATCGTGTTAGGAGACAATCAGGACAGACGGGCACACTCCTCCCTAGGCTTGAAAGCTGTCCTTTTAATCCCGTGCCCTGGCCCCAGCAGCTTGCAGCTCCAACAGTTTGGCCGCAGATTCTTTCATTCTTACCAGGATCTAAGTGTCCATAAGAGCTCCAGAAAGCCCTAGAGACCCATGGCCCCAGGCAAGGGGCAACCTAACAGTGGAACCGAGTCTCGGTGTCACATCTTTGCATGCTACCACCTAGAGCAGCTCAGCGAAGAGGAGGTCGGGGCAGGCCTTCCCCACACATGGCACCATTTTGTCACCTGATGTTTAAATGTCCACAGGATCTGAGCAGAACAGCTTTCACAACAGCGTGCGTGGACACACCGTGGTGCTGCAGCCTTTCTAGACAACTTGGCACGAGTGATTCTGGCACACTCACCGCCAGCAATGGATGTGTCGCCAGGAAACCAGTCTCATAGCATGGCTTAAGGAATGAGGATGTGCACGCCTTTTGATTTTGATAAATAACCACTGGCCATGATTACGCGATGAGGGATGGTTGTGATCCCAGTGAGAAGACACAAAGGAACAAAAGAGGATGATCTCAGACCCATATGTCTGCTGGGTTCCACACTAGAGTTTCACATCAGTGTAAGGTAACAAGCTAAATTCAAGTCTTTTTCACTGGAGAGCCATACAAACATAGGCTACAAAGGCACTGCCCCTGTAATGGAATTTTGTTTTCATTGCATTGAATTGCATTGCATTGAACAGTCTCAGTACAGTATCCAGTTTACTTCTTCCCACAGAAACGGCTGGCTCGGTCCCCTCTGGGCCACTTCACATGTCTGTAAAGAAGGTCCGGCGCCTCCTTTCTGCCAGTTGATCTGTATGAGCAGATTCTTCATACATAACTCTCTTTCACTTTCTCATCCTGGAGAAAGGACGTGAGCACTGCCACGTCCACCACTGTCTGGTGTTTGTGCAACGACAGGTCTTTTAAGTGGTCATCATCACTTTGGTCCTTGGCAAAGTTCACAAATACCTGTCAAAAGAAAGATGACTCTTTATAAAGACCCGTCAACCTGCTCTTGATCCTAACTGCATTTTCCCTCTATGTTGACGTTAGGTCAAGTAGGAGAACGTAGGATGACATAGGTTAAATTAGAAAGCCTTGTAGGGGTGGGCTGCCGCTTGAAAAAGCATTAGTCACTTCAATTGGCCTCCTGTTTTGTCCCTCAAGTCATCAATCATCTATTGGCTGTGGGGCACGGGCGTGGCTGGAGAACCTGTACTGAATGCCAACTAAGGACCGGCTCTCTTTGACATTTTAGGTTATCTAACTGAAATGGGTTAAGACACCTGGCAAAATGCCTCGCCCATGGTAGGTGCTCGATACATGTTAGTTTTATGATTATTATTATGATTAATTTTCAACAGCAATCCTAAATAATAACACAGCACCATCTCTCTCCAGGCCATAGAGGCTTGATAAAAATCCTAGCTAACAAAGGGAGAGGTCAAGCGCAGGCCAGCCAACTTGCTCTAGGTTCCACACTAGGGGCCTAACAAGGAAGTCTCCTTTGGACGCTCAAAGCTTACTTGGTCCAGCGTTGTCTGAGAAACAGAGTAGTCTTCTATGTGGAGTTGTTTTTTGCTCTGAGAGAGGATGCTGAATATCCTGGCCAGTGAAGACAACGAAGACGGAAGCTGGTATTGCAGCATATTCCGGTGTTTCTCCTTTAGGACACTGCCTGGAAAGGCGAGCCCGAAGAATTCCTGGACAGGCTTCAGGTCCGGGTTTGAGCCTGCTATTCGTACAACTATTGTGTAACCATCTCCAAACCTGAAATTGGGAAAAGTCCAAATGAACGATGATGCCCAGGAAACCTCACAAAAGCGTTTTTGAACACCGAGAGTCCAACGTGCCAAGAACAAGGGAGGACCCTCACAGAACCTGAAAGGTTTCCGAGGAGTAGCCAGTACCACAGACTGGGTGCCAGTGTGATGTGAGGGGTCATGCTCAGGACTTTTAATACACGGTCTCATGCAGGCCTCCCTCTGACCCATGAAGTACGAAACTGCTACGAACCCACTGAAGCCCAGGGAGTCCGGCACCACCACAAAGCTCATAAGGGGAAGGGCGAGGAAATCAACTCACTTGTGTGCGGCTCCAAACTCTGTTTATGACCACAGTGGCACATATAAATCACCCTAGTAAAGTTAAACCAAACTCGCTCCCGCTGAGCCAATGCTGACTCACAGTGGCCCTATAGGACAGAGTGGAAGTGCCCCTGTGGGATTCCAACACTGTAACCCTTTATAGGAGTAGAAAGCACAGCAGCTAGTGGCTTCCAACAGCCAAACTTCAATACGCAACCCACCACGCCCCCAGAGCTCCTTGCCAGAGTTAAAGTTGCCAAAACCAAATGCACTGCCATTGAGTCAATTCTGATTCATGGCGACCCTAACTGTAACTCTTTATAGGAGTAGAAAGTCTCATCTTTCTCCAGAGAAGCTCGTGATTTCAAACTGCTGACCTTGAGGGTCTCAGAGGCATGAAGTCATTTTCCCCAGTGTGCACAACCAGTAAACGGTAAAGACAGAATTTGAACCCGGCTCTGTTTGATGTCAAAGTCCTTTCTGTTTCCACTCTACCATTTTGCCACTTTTACTTCCCTGTATTTTAGCTCTACCACCTGTACACTCATGGAAGAGTAAACATCAAGCTTTCTCAATAGGAGTGATTCCAAAGAAACTATCTTTGTTACCTGTTTTTGAGATGCTGAACACTGCCAAGACACCTGAACTTCCCGTTGACCATGATTGCCATCCTAGTGCAAAGAGCTTCACACTCTTCCATACTGTGAGAAAACAAAGCAAGGCTTTAGTTTTAGAAAGATGCTCCTACGACATCAGGACGTCACCATGACATGCGGCATTTCAAAGAAGCCAGTCCCTAGCTTCCTAGGGCAGAAGAGCATCCTATTACAAATGCATGAAGATGTCAAGACGGCTCCATTTGTTTACTGCAGTGCTGTTTACAACTGGGGGTGGGGGATGGGGTGGGCGATGCTGGAAGCAATCCAAATGTCTGAAAAGGGGAACTATTAAATATGCTGTATCTCCATCGAATGCTATCCAGTTACAAGAACTAAGACAGCCATCCACATTTAATGACATGAAGGTGTTCACAATACATCGCTAAATTTAAAAGCAGTATGCAAATGTTCATTTACAAATGTACATATGCTTGCTTATATTTCTGTTTGGGAAAAAAAGAGGCTCTACAGGTACACACATCTGTGGATGTATATTTGCATTAAAAAACCTCTACAACTAGACCATCCAATGGGAATAGTAGTTTCGTCCAGGTGGCGCCAATTTCACGTGATTTTAATTGTTTTTCTCTTTGCCTTTCTGTATATCCTAACTGTTCTTAATTTACATTACTTGACAAGTTTAAAAATCGCACAACACGGACGCTGAACCAGACCTGTGAGATGTCAGCACCACTGATCGTCCCTCTTTGATGATGCTTAAGGCACAGTTCCACAAGAACCGCCGGGCTTTGGGATCCATGCCTGTGGTCGGTTCATCCTGTAAAAGAATAAAAAAATTGGTTCTTTTTACTATTTTCTGGTGAAACACATCAAAGATTTATTTTATTTTTGATGTGACATCATCTTGGACACCGTCTACATTTTAACTTACTGTTAACATCTAGTTATATTTGTATGAAACCAAGAACCAGACCTTATACACGAGGATACGTTATACTTGTTCATACACAGTTCACGTGTACAGATGTCTAATTAAAGCAGGAAACAATTCTGAATGAATGTTTATGAAATGAACAGATCTCCAAAAAAGGGGAAGAAGAAACAAAAGGAAAAAGTGGAGGTCATTTCATCTTTACATGACTCAATTAAGCTTACACTAAAAAGAGTCTTTGTGTCTGAAATCTCTACTTCACTGAGCATAAGACTTGGGCAAAATCGTTTCCTCCTTTTTTCATTCTAGTTCATTCCACCTACTGGTCTAGACGAAATGAATCTCAAACTCATGAACTCTGGATTATATGAAAGCCTAGCCCTGACTTATTCTAATTTGCATGCTCTGCCCCTCTACAGAAAAATTAAAGGTCAAGGGGCTGCTGAATGGCTCCATCCCCCCCTTTTTCAACATGAGTAACACGATGGCAACATCAGCAGTTTGAAACCACCCGCCACTCCAAGGGAGAAAGATGAAGTCTTCCACTCCCATAAAGATGTGCTCTTGAAACCGCACAGAGGCAGTTCTACTCTGCCCTACAGGATCACCCTCAGTTGGAACGGACTCAATGGCAGTGAGAACGTGTAAGAGCCAGTAACCCAGGTACTACCTTAGGGGTCTTGAAACCGTACCCCCACCCTCTACCCTCAGGGGATGAAGAGAATGTTCTAGAATGAGCTCAAATCATCTATCCTGCCTCAGCAACCCCTGAGATGAGCTGCTTGGAGTATCTCTATTTGGGATTATCTAAGAGCCACCCAGGTGTGTGTGGAGGGAAACGAACAAGAGAGTGCCCCTTGATTTCTCTGCTGTTTGGGGCGAGGCTTGCCATTGCCAAGTCCCCACTGGCAGGACCTACGGGTCTTTAGAAAAGTGATGTTTCCCATTTATCCCAGAACAATCGTTTTCCTTCCCAGCCACACTCACCAGAAACACCACGGGAGGCCCGCCAATCAGAGCCATGGCTGTGGACAGCTTGCGCTTGTTGCCGCCGCTATAATTACCAGCATATTTCTCTCCATATTTCAGAAGGCCCAGTTTCCGAATTGCCCATTCACCAACCTAGAGTAATAAAAAACAACTCGTCTCTTGTCTGGCTTGGGAATTTACTTATTTTACTTATTTACGTTAAGAGGGGGGAAATGTGGCAGTCTGCCTCAGAAACTCGTTGGGGGCCGTTCTACTTTGTTATATAGGATCAATCACTATGAGTCAGAATTGACTGGATGGCAATGTTTTGAGAATGATGAGGGCAATGAATGTACCAATGTGCTTTACACAATTGATGTATGTATGGATTGTGAGAAGAGTTGTATGTGCCCCTAATAAAATTATTTATAAAAAAAATTTTTTTGTTTGTTTTTTTAATGGAGTAGGAGTGGATTCTATAATTCACCTTATAATCCCAGCCTGGCAGATGCTGTGGAACCAAAATGAGGGATTATGTGTGGAGGAGGGGGAGAGGAGGAGGAGCACTCTCTATTTACTCCCAAGCACATGCCGGCCCAGCCACCCTTACCAGACAGCAGAGTTGCCCACCCCAGAAGTAGGTGCAAGGAACCAGCAGCCCATACTGCTGCATCCAAGGGGAAGCGAGGCCTGAGTCAATGTTTGCGGGTGAAAGCCAAAGCCACATGGTCAGGTTGCCCGAGTAGGCAGGCTGGCGCTCTGAGCCCACCATACCTTGCCAACTTCTTTCTCCGGGACTCCTCTCAAGAGAGCGAAGAACTCCACGTGTTCTCTGCCCGTCAGCAGCTCCGTGATGGCATCAAACTGCGGGCAGTAGCCCATGTTCTGATGTACCTCGTGGATGTTGGATAAGATACTGCAGGGCAGAGTAAACCTGGTCAGGTGGTAGGCATTTACAGATCCTTCTGGCTGGGCAGTCTGGCCTGGGGCACCTGTAAAGTGCGCTGGTGCAGGGTGAAAGTGTTAGCGATCACACCTGCTGCCGTGCTGGATGCTGCCTCCTGCCCTCAGAGGCAAAGGGTGATTTCCTGGTCGTCTGGGTGGCCTGTCTCTATCCTTCCCAAACTTTGCACGTGGTTCCCACAACATCCCCATTTGCAGACTGGGCCACATTTCCAAGTTCTCAAATCCACCTCCACTGCAGTACCAGCTTTACCAACAAATTGATCATGCCATCCCTGAAGCTTTAAACCCAGGCTCCAGCTCAGACCTTGGCTCTGTGGCCCAGTCATATCATCACCTGTTCTTGCTGCTGCAAAATGTGCTTTCTGTACGGTCATTCAGACCCAAAGGACACGGAGTGACTCTGGATGCGCACTCTCTGGTTTCCCAGCCCCCACACACCACCTCAGTGATGGCAGTGTCCTCCAGCCCAAGTGTCCTCTGGTTCTTAAGGTTTTTCTATTTTATTTTAAAGACCCTTTGGGAATTGCTGGCATACAAAACTATAACTATGAGCACAACTGTCCACATTCACAGGACACAGAGACGTTGCTGTCACTGTGATGGTGACTCCGGTGGCTGCGTGGGCTCAGAGGAGCGCCGCACTCCACAGGCTGGTCAATGGCTGTGGGCGTTCAAAAGTAGATCCGTCGCCGGGTATTTCTTCCGAAGTGTGTCCGTATGAATTGAAACAGCTAACTGTTTCACATAGTAGCAGAGCAATGAACCTTCTGAGACACCCAAGGACTTCTTTTGTAAATGATGAAGGGGACTGATAGGCCTTAGGACGCCAATGTCAGGTTGAGAAATATTTGCTGTTAGAGAAAGCTCTGTATCCAGACCCCATTCACCTCAGGGCGACTATGGGCTTGGTCTCCCAGCAGAACGCAATCCTCTCTGTATATCTCACCTCCCCACCCCGTCCCTAAGCAGGACCAGACTTTTCCCCAAATTATGACCCAGGCAGCGTATGTATATAGTGCAAGATCCTCTCAGCTATGCCCCTCAAGCCAGCTCTTATAGCCGTGCAAAACCTTCCTTTAGGCCAGTTATGGATGCCATCAAATGCCCCAAAGAGCCTGGCCCTACGAGCAAGTCTGGGGAAGCAGCTATGGTGACTTAGGTAAACTACTTCCAGAATCTCCAGCCTCTGAGGCCTCATTACATAAGGTGACCAGACGTCCCACTTTTGGCGGGACAGTCCTGATTTTTCACAATTTTTCCCGCGTGCCGCAGCAATTTTTAAAAAGTCCCAATTTTTTGAAAGAATACACGACAAGCTAGGGTATACTGTTTTCCGCTGCCATGTGGTTCTTTTGCCAGGATATGAGTTTTATCAATGATGTCCCGCTTTTGTCCCACTGTACCAATGTTAAAATCTGGTCACCTTATCCTTACATGACTTCTGAAAAAATCCTACGAGGTAGAGAAAAGATGGAGCACACAGAGTTCCTTGCTCTTTTCAATTTTATAGGCTAGTCACCATCCCACCACCCTCACTGGCTGGTGTTTCCAAAGTGTGAGCCTCCACCCAGGTGGTGGAGGAGGCCATGCATTGAACTGAGAACCTCAAAGACAGCGCTTTGAACCTCCTCTGCAGGAGATAGAAAACTGCCTACCTACGTAAAGAGTTACAGTCTTGGAAACTCAAAGGGGCAGTTCTACTCTGCCCTAGCGGGGAAATAGCGATTATTGCTAGTAGCAGGGTTATGGATGATTTTTATTTTCTTCCTTAGACTTTGCTTCATTCCAATACTTTTATGAACTCTACAAAATACTGTTCTAAATAGAATAATAAACAACATCTCCATTTGAAGAAAATTTTAAAAGGTATTGTGGCAAAATGCCAGCCCCTCCTTTTCTCACCTATTTTTGTTAAGAAAAGCGTTGCCTCTGGTAACAGTGGTGTCTCCAGTTAACATCTTGAATGTTGATGATTTCCCAGCCCCGTTCACTCCCAGAAGTCCAAAGCACTGAAAATACAAGATTGGGTAACTTGTAAAGGCACTCTACTAAGAACTGGACTATAAATGACCTTTCTAAGGGAGGGACCGCAGCTCAACTTTTTTATGTCATTGTCCTAAAGATTATTCTGTGTTTTACAGGCTATGTAAAAGAATTAGGCCCCGTGGGTCATTAAAAAATATGATGGATAAGACTGTGAGGAATGGGGATTCCAGAACATTTCCTTGTGCTCCTGTGAAACCTCTACAAAGACCCTGAACAGAACAGAGGGATATGCATGGCTTACAAATCAGGAAAAGTGTGTGCCGGGTTGTATCTTCTGACCATATTTACTTAATCTGTTTGCTGAACAAATAATCTGAGAACCTGGACATTGTGAGAAAGAACAAGGTATCAGGATTGTAGCAAGACTCATTAACAGCCTGCAATACCCGGATGACACAACCCTGTTTGCTGAAAGTGAAGACTTCAGGCACTTACTAATGAGACTCAAAAATTGCACCTCAATAGAAGGAAAACCAGAATCCTCACGACTGGACAGATAAACACAGCCTGTTAAGTGGAGAGAATACTGACGCTTTTAAGGACTTCAGTTTACTTGAATCTACAATTGATGCCTACATAAGTGGCAACGAAGACTTCAAATGATGCATTGCTTTGGGAAAATCTGCAGCAAAAGACCTCTTTGAAGCCTTAAAAAGCGCTATCACTCAAAGAGCTACAGCACACCGAACCCACGCCCTGGTATTTTCAGTCACTTCATATGCAAGTGAAAGCCAAACAATAAGTAAGGAGGAGCAAAGAATAATTGATTGTTTGAAATTATGGTGTCTGTTAAGAATACTGAACAGGGGCTGTCAGAAGAAAGAGTCTATCTGTCTTAGAAAACAACAGAACCAGAGCTTTTCTACATGAGGGTGACAGGATTCTGTCTCGCGTGTGTCAGACATGCTTTCAGCAGAGCCCTGTCCCTGGAAAGAGGCATCATGCTATGCAAAGCACAGGGTCAGTTACAAAGAGGAAGAACCCTAATGCGATGGACTGGCACAGAGGCTGCCACACTGGACTCAAACACAGCAATGACCGTGAGGCTGTGCAGGACCTGGGGACATCGGTCGTGATCCATAACGTCCCCACTGAGTTAGAACTGACTGAATGGCACCTATCCACAACCACAAAAACTGTTCGCACATCGCAATGAAGAGTGCAATATTTTCTTGATTTTAATGAAACCAGACAGCTATTTAAACATATTTTATAATGGGGCCACTTTAAGAGTAAGCATATTTCTAAGTGTCTGAGTCTTCAGGATGAGGCCACAGTTCATATGTAAAAGGTCATGAGAGCTAACCAGCCAAATTTCACCATCTGACCTGAGTAAAGGGCATAAAAGAGCACACTCATGAGCAAGAGAGACGAAAATCTATCTCTTAAACCTTTTCGAATTTTATCACAATGAAGAGATCACGGAAGCACATTTTGGAGGCTCACGCTTTTCTTAAACTGCTGTCAATTATTCAAAGTCATTCTTGTTGGCCACCAGGGTCCCCGTCTCTCACGGCTGCGATGCCATGAGATAGAAGAGACAAGGCTTTCAGGGCCACTCTGTCCTTCAGAGCCATTCTTGTTTTGATTCGGAGAGTGAGCGTTAAATTAACAGAGAGAAACACAACTTGCACCAAGGCCTTTACCTCGCCACGAGGAATCCCAACGCAAATTCTGTCCACGGCAGGCTTCCTCTTCCTCCTGTAGATCTGCAACAAACCAGAGCCAAGAAATCAGGAATCTCAATTGCTCAGCTATCCCCAGTGACAACAGAATAGGGTCCTATCACTCAAATACACCGGGAAATAAGGCTCACCACCAAAGTCCCCAGTGTTCAGAGCCTCAGTGATCTGTGTGAAATTAAATCACAGATACCCTACTGGCTAGAGATTGACCACTTGTGGGGGCAGGTCAGACCGCTGTCTCTCCTCACCACAGGGATGGGCCTGCTCCCTGATGCTGGGGACAATGGACAGGCTCCTGGAGGCAGAGTTCACACCCTACTGATAAGGGTCTCTATCAGTTGAGCCAGGAACAGGCCAAACCAGCTAAATTAAGCTGCCATCCTAAATCTAGGATCAGCCCATCTTGTCACATGTCTACTCCCAATCCCTCCTCTTCCTATTGCGTTTATGTCCCTAGACCACCCCCTCTCATTACTGTGTAATCTATAGTGCAACCCCTTTCTGTGAAGTATGACTTTACCTGTAATTAGTGGGCTTGCAAAAGGTATATAGGCCTGGGCTAGCAATAGAGCTCTCGCTAGCTGGTCTCTCCCCATCTCCTCTCTTTCCCCTCTCTCCTGTCCTCTCTTCCTTGTCCCCTTTCCCTTCCCCCTCTCTCCACGTGGACCACCAAGCCGGGCTGAGGTGAGCAATGCTACCATAAAATGTGTCTGACTGAATGACTGTAATCTCTCCTCTACCTCTCATGCTCTCAATGACTTTAATATAATATATCTACAACTGTGCTTACTGAAGCCACGACTAGCGGTGGGGGCTGGCCCCCCACCTCCCAACCTTATACTACAACCACCCAAGTACGATTTATACGTAGGCAAAAAGTGATTATTGGAATCCTGTCCCCGAGGGAGATGTGAAATAGGCCCTGCTCCTGTGTGTCCGAGAGAGATCAGCTACAGATCAGCAAAGTTCGCCTTTCGAGACTCACTGTCATCGAGTTAATGCTGACTCATAGTGACCCTACAGAACAGAACAGAGCCACCCCTGTGGGATTTGGAGACTTTAACTTTTTATGGGCGCAAAAAGCCTCATCTTTTTCCTGGGCAGTAGCTGGTGGTTTCAAACTGTTAACCTCTGGTTTTTGGACCGAGACTCAAATCCAACCAACTACCCTCCTTACCGCTGAGTTGATGAGACAACAATATTAGTGTTTTTTATTAACAGACACATAAATGTAAATGCTCAAAACAAATACATTTGAGAAGGAGAATTCACATTACTGAAGCATTCTCAGTAGGCTAGCTTTAATTAAAGAGTCTCCACGGTACACTTTAGATCAAATTTAATTGACAGCAGCTTGGTATACGTGCACATTTAGGGAAGCAGGCTCATTTCCTACAGCAAGTCAGCACAGTGCTGGTTTCTGAAGTAAAACACTGGGAAAATTCAACACCAGCATCTGGAGCCCTTACCCACGACCTCACCTTCGTCAACTCTTTGATTTCCAAGATGTCATTCTGGCCTCCTCCGTCAAGAATTCTCTGTCTCTCCCGCCTCACATCTTCATCCTCATCATTCAGGGGAAGGAACTTTGTCTTTACAGCTCTTCGAGGGGAAAATGGTAAGAAAAAGAAACATTTTGAGCCATTTTTCAAGACACAATCTCTCAAAGAAATTCTGCAAGGCCTATTCTCCACAATTCCAGGATCTGTGGCATGCTCACATTAGTAGAGTTGGTTTGATTTAACTAGTTTCAGTTCAGAACAACCCAACCACCACTGCGGTGTATTTCCCAGTGTAGGTCTCTCTGAGGCCCTCAACCAGAGCTCACCCAGGCTGAGCTCTCTTGAGCTCTGAGGGACAAAGCTCACCTGGGTCTAATGAAGAATCTGTACTGGATCAGAACAGTGATGAGGAAGAACACCACGCCTTCCACAGCCATAGCAAAGAGGTTTCGGCCCACCAGATCCCAAGAGAGGGGCGAGATGAAGCGATTCTCCCCTGTACAAACAATGCAGACAACCCGTCAGAATGGAGGTTTTGCAGACCAGGGCCCTTCCTCAAATTTGGGGCCAAATTCACCTATCTCCCTAGAAACACTGGTGGACAACCTCTACAACAAAGACAGAAAATAAAGCGTGTGGTCACTTTCCAAAGCTGATGTGGAGCAGGGGTTGGGGAAACACCGAGCCCAGCATCAATCAGTATTTCAGAACCAACATGCAATAGACCAGTAACTTCCTCTAAGATACCGAATGTTTCCTTTTAAGGAGACATGCTAAAAATCCTTTAAGAAAAGGCAAATAAGCCCTTTCAATTCAGAAGAATCCTTGTGTCAATATTTTAATAAATGCTAAGCTTCATTAATAAAGGAAAAAAACTATTCAAAAACACTTGGACTGAAAAATGTCTCTTTCGGGAACATCATGTCATCCAGTGACTCAATTAAGGAGTCCTGGGAGTGTTGTTGCTTCAGTTGGATTGCTCACCACAAGGTCAGGGGTTCAAACCCACCAGCGGCTCAGTAAAAAAATGATGAAGCCGTCTGCTTCCGTGAAGACTCCCAGCCCCAAAAGCCCCAAACAGGATCCTGTGAGCTGGGGTCAACTCAATGACAGGAGGACTGGGGACAAGTGACTCAATTAAATGACCTCGTTAGTATGTAAGCGGTCTTCAAATTCCTTATGCATCTCCTTTGCACATAATTCCTTATGCATCTAATTCCTTATGCATCTCCCAAGCTAACAAAAACATTTTTTAAAGTTCTTCTAGGAGATGATATGCCCCCATATGATTATCTTAAGTCAATGGATGTGTGAACGGTAATGTGGCCACAGGATATTATTTTTAGACTCTAAAAACAGAAAGTGCTGTAGTAAATTACCTTTTTTTCGACTGTATAAAAGACAATAATTTATGGGCCCATCTTCCAAGTTCCTTATTTATCTAGCAGAGTCAATGTTTACATATTTCCTTGATTCTCTGGTTCACGTCTGATTTCCAAAGCTGTGGTTTGACTTTTCCACTGACTCTGACACGGTGTTCAAGCCGAAACCATCACTGTTCTTCCCTCCCAAAGGACTCTTATTTCCCTCAGCACTATCAGAAGAAGCCACACCCAACTGGCTGCTTCTCAAGATACTGCCTTGGCAGGTAAGCCCACGGCCAGACGACAAGTTCATGACAGAACAAAGGTCAGAGGGCCAAGGCCCATGCCAACACCCATCTCCATTAAGGCACCCACCACCTCTGTGGGCACTCACCAAACCTTTCCAGGGCGTCAGCCATTGCTTGGTTTTTCACCATGTCAATGAGCCCTCGTCCCAGGCAAAAATGTGGGAAGATCAAGAACACAGACTTCAGGATGTCGTTGATGTTGTTCAGTTTCTAAAAAATAAAATAAAATCATACATAGATAGATATAGATAGATACGGGAAGGAAAAAGAAAGTGAAGAGAGATTGAATGCCTTTGATGAGTTAGACTAAAATAACTGGCAAATGTATCAGTGTCTAAAAGTGGTAATCAAGAGAAAAGTCGATTCCCTGGAGACAAGACCTTTGAAGTTAGACACCAATAAACAGCAGCAGCCAGAGCCGTTGATACCTAACATTAAAAAAAAAAAAAAAAAAAAGTGCTCTTTAGAAAACTTGAAATCATGCTCTGAGCAGGGAAATAAATGCACACACAATTTAGAAACAGAGCAATGTTTAATTGGCAGCAGATCTATAATAAAATGGCTGCTTAGCATTTTTAAAAAGCATATTGTTTACATCTGCGCCCATACTTGCATGGAGAGGACTCTGCTGGAATATAAAAATCCATTTTGAATATTTGAGAATGTAGTAAATCCCAATATGTTGCTCATCACGGCTATCAATCACCATTAAGTCAAGTCCAACTTACAGCAGCCCTGGGTGTGTCAGGCAGAAATGTGCTTGATAGGGTTTTCAATGATTGACGTTTCAATCAATAGGTTTTTCTGTCAAGGGGCTTTTGGATGGACTAAAACCTTCAACCCTTTGGTTGGTAACTGTTTGCATCACCTAGGGAAACCAGTGGCCACACAGTCAACAACTTTGAGAGTTGCTTTGTGTGGATGTTAAACTAGGTCCCTGGAGAACCAAAGGTCAATTAGAAGCAGTCTCCACTCTGAGGAAAAGAGACATGTCGATAGGAAATTGGTACTGAGAGTGTTTTTGGGAAAGGGAGGGTGAGAACTGATCAGGGAGAGTCATGCATCTATAAAATGCTTTGTGTGTCAATCTAAGGGGTTTGGACCACAGGGATGGAGAGGGATATTCTTTTAGAAATTGCTGTCCCTGGAAGAATTGATGAAGTTACCAGTTAATTGTGGGTAATAGCCAAGTAAAGCTTGCGGGCTGACCCTGTGGTTGAGAGCTTACGTGAATGGGTGGACAATAAGGGCATGCAGCGTGCCGAGAATGACAGGGAGAATATTAAGTTCTGAGGAGGAAGACAACAGCATGTTGAGTTTGAGAGAGCTATCAATGAATGGAACCAGTCAGCCAACCAGCAAGCAAGTCAGCAGATGAGACTAGAGTCCAAAGGGAAGGATCAGGGCTGAAGGCGTAGATAAGAGAGGTAAAGCACATTTGAACTCGAGGGAAGTGTGTTACGGGTCTCTGGAATAAGTGGCATCACCTAGCGACAGTGTCTAAAGCGGAAAGCAAAGATGGCAGAGGGTCAAATCTTGGGAAAGGCACCACGTAAGGAGAAAGCAGAATAAAAGTTGCCGAAGAGAATTGACAAGGCTGGATCAGAGAAAGCAGGAAAGAGGGGTTTCTGCGTGAATCCAGGAAAGAGAGAATTTGAAAAGGGACAAGCGTGGTCAGTGGTGGCCAGGCCGTAACAAATTGAATACTCGGGAATCAGCGCCACCCCCTGGTCCTCAGAGACGCGCATCCCGGCCAACAAGGGCCTCCCTCTGCAGTACTCACGTTGTTGGTGAAGAGCTCCAGGACGAAAGTGGCCACACTGCCATTGATCCCGATGAAGAGGTTCACGCTGGTGAGGACCACGTAGGCCGTGCTGGGGATCTTGAACACGAAGGAGGCTGGGTACATGAGAGGTGTGATGGACCACCTGGGGAGGCACACAGACCAGCGATGACCGGGAGTCCTCCACCTTCTCTGTCATTGGGCATTGCCCCACCCAGCTCCCTCAGCCCCAGGTCCTTCCTTACCCATACAGCAGAAGTAGCAGGGCCAACACAGGCAGGTTGGTGGATGAGACGTAGGACTTCTGCTGGAAGCAGATGAAGATGATGATGACCAGCGTGGCTGGGACCACATAGTTGCACTGAAAGTGAAAACACGGAAATAAAGTTCAGCCCTCAGTCCAGTGTACCACTCGTCCCAGGTCTTTACCCAAAAGGACAAGAAAGGGTAGATAAGCATATCGGAGAAGAACTCGGAAGTCACATAAACGATCGATCAAAATACCGGACAATGCCTTTTGACAAGCATTTTCCCCTTGGCTGATTTTATAAACTGCATGCCCTTTCTGCCTTTCCAGCAGCGAAGCCAGAGTGTCACGCTCAGTAAACTCGCTGAACGATGGATTCTCCGTCGGAGTAATTTCCATTTCACAGGCAGCAACCAAGCTTCCATTATTCTTGCCGAAGATGACTGTGTTTCATCATTAATGCTATATGACAGTCTGCCCGGCTCAACCTCACATGTAATCTATTTATGAGACCAGCACTCACAACATGAATGTCAGAATTGTTTCATCACGCTGAGAATAATTTAAAAGTCTGCCCTGACAGAGTATCAAGCATTAATATGCAGAAATAAAGACCTGACTACAGGACAATTATGAAAATCCATAGCTGGCAGAACAAAGCACAGCCAGCACAGTGGCGAGTGGGTCTGTCAGCAGTTAGAAGGGCCGCAGTGCTCAATCAATGTGCTTATCAACGACTCCGATGAAGACATCGTGAATTTCAGAGGCTCTAAAGCAGGGAGTGGCCAAGAAAACACAGGTGGACAAGCAATGTCCTTGTGCTCAGAAACCAGACCTTTCATCTCTGAATCGCCTGTGCACATGGAGTACATAGTGAGGATGCGGTATACGTTTGCTGAATAAATGGCTCAAGATCAAAAAGATTTTAACAATCAGGCACTAAACAGTAAGATGCAGTGTAATAAGAACAAATGTGAAGTTTAGATTTTTAAAGTCAATCAATCGATCAGTATTAGCATAGAATGAGAGAGACTCAATTTAACAATCATTCATATGAAATGAAGGTTGACGTTCACTGTGTAGTGACCAGTAAGAAAGTACTGCTTCCAAAGTGTATCTGCCTTGGGCTGCAGTGTGAAAAGTATAGAATACAGATCAACGCCCTCTAGACTCATAGCCTCCAGACCGTACCCTGAATGCAAGGTTCATTCTGGACTTTGCTTTAAATGGGATATTAGCAATGTGGAGAATGGTCATCAAGAAGCAAACAGATCAAAAGAGTGATAAGTCTGAGAGAGTTGGTTTAAGCAGCACACACACACACACATCATCATCATCATCACTGCTCACATTTGTGCAGTGCTCTAGCGATTAAAAGGTGTTATTTTATGTCTAGTCTTATGTCTGCTGGAAACTTGGCTTAAATAAGAATTATCTTCAAATCTTCCAGGGATTGCCCAGTGAGACATGAATTAGGTTTCCTCTCCCTGGCTTCCGACTGAGGGAATTCACAGGGAGATAAGTTGCAGTCCCACGTTACCATAATTAGAACTTCAGGACACCTGAAGCTCTCCATATTAATCCAAACAATATGCTGTACCTGGTACAAAATATACGGAATTCTCAAATGATATAGATGGGCTTCAATGCTAAGAATGCCCTGGTTCTGGGGATAAAAACCTCTCAGAGAAGTTCAGAGGCATTGGCTTGGAATTCTGACTAAGGCCCTTCTACCTCCACGTTTCACTTTAAAAAGTTTTCACTTCGGAAATGAGCGGGCTGGTGATGGCAGTCATTACAGTCAGCATGGACACATATTGGCTCTCTGGTGTGATGTCAGCGCCCTATCCAGGGTGGTGTTCGGGGTCCTGAAAGCCTGCCTTTCCTTTCCCACATATCTTTAGAACAAGCTGAATGCATCCTGGTGGGAGCCAAGCTCTTTGACTCCCTTGTACATCCGAGACGTGGCGCTGGTGGAGATCTATAAAGAGCCAGCAGGCCGGTGTGCTTACCATATCCCAGACAAAATTGGAGAGCCAGTAGATGACAGGCTTCACCCCACTGATGAACTGCAGGTGCTTCGCCTTGCTGACCCGCTCCTGGATCAGGAACACGACAAAGCTGGCCGGGACGAAGGACATCGCAAAGATGACACAGATGGAGACCAGCACATCCACTGAGGTGGTCATCCTGAAAACAAAACAAAACCATCCAAAAAGGTAGTAAGAACCTGAGGGGCCTCTGATGGAGTTTCAGGCTCAATCAATACAGATGCACACACATCCACAAACACACATATCCTCTCTCTCTCTTGTCACCCCCCCTCCCTGCCACACACACACACACACACACACACACACACACGAAGACCTGAAGCACAGCCCAGGGAAAGTATCTGTTCATTAAATTTATTTTATTCACGAGTTAAAAGATGACCACTTTCTGAAGGACTAAAAACTCAAGCACAAAACTGCCCTCACCAGGATAAAAGAGCATCTACTGCCAGATGTAACCGCTGAAAGAGGCCTGAGAGCAACTGAAGGACAGACACTGTGCTGCCCTTGAAAGAGCAACAGGACGTAAGTTTTCATATACAAGGACTAGTGTGACTTGGACACTTAAGAGGAGCAGAAAGATCAGAGTGAAACTTTTCAAATAAATTCACTTTTTCCGGCTGCAACTAAATTTTAAAATATAGTATATAGCAGATCAATCTAAGCAATCAAAAAATTCCTGCTTAAGACCTGTCTCCAAAGTCCATTAAAAAAGGTCTTGGTATAAAATTCCTAGCGGATCTTCTGGTATCCTCTAGAACAGTGGTTCTCAACCTTCCTAATGCCGCAGCCCACAGTTCCTCATGTGGTGGTGACACCACCCCCAAACCGTAAAATTATTTTTGTTGCTACTTCATAACTGTAATTTTGCAACTGTTATGAATTGGGTGACCCTTGTAAAAGGGTCATTCGATCCCCTAAAGGCGTCGTGACCCACAGGTTGAGAACCACTGCTCTAGAAGGTAAGTAGAAGTGCTGTGTGAAGCTCCACATACAGAAAAGAGACCTTGTGTGTGTACGAGTATCAACTACATGCCAGGTAATGGACTTGCAACTGACAGGAATGATCATTTAATATCATACACTATTAAGTTTTGGAGACCAGATTCTAAACCAGATCTTTGACTCCAAAGGAGGTATGATTTATCCAAGAATACGCTGGCTTTAAACTTGATGAGTTTAGAATTCTTATCCTAAGAATTAGGGCTTGGGGAGTAAATTCAAGTATTAAAAACACAATTTGGCTAATAAGACAGGTTTCACCAAATACAGAACAGAGCTTTCAAAATAAACAAAACTGATTTTTATTCAACAGTCGTGGTAGTGGTGAGCTAAATTGTTTTAGGGCTTTATTAACCACGTGTTCAGTCATTTTCTCTGAATTTACTAAGTGTAGTCTTTGTTACAAATTAGTGTCATTTCTCATTCTCAGTTCAAAAAGCCCCTTCAGCCAACTCAGATCCTGATCATTTTCTGCCGAGAGCCTGGGTCAACCGAGAGGCGAGGCGCCAGGTTGCAAACTCTCCCAGCCGTGGCCACATAGCCAGCTTCACATTTCTCCCTCTGCTCCCCCGCCCAATGCCCTCTCGTCTCCCTGCCCCCACGCCACCCACTCGGGCAAGACTGCACTTACAGGGCCACTTCCGAGAGCTGCTGCTTGGTGAGATTCAGAGGGTGGTTGAAAGCAGTAATCCCATACTTGTTTGGGTTCTCTCCCTTCTGCAGGTTGGCCCGGAGAATGGCATTGTTGATGACATTCAGGAAAGAGCTGATGGCATGCCAGCCCTTGTTGTTAAACCACACCTGGAATAAAGCGAACCGGGTAGCATGTAACACCCAGCCTGGCTTCCAGGGGCAATGCACGTACAAAGTACACACAACACAGGAAGATAATTTCCGACTCTTACCATCCCAACAGGAACATGGCAAAGTAATGAGAGTGGCCAGATAGACTGGGCACTGACCACGTGGCCAGGCACTGTGCCAAGTACTTAGCATATGTACCTCATTTCATTCCCTCAACACCTCGGTGAGAGCTGCGAGATTACGCTCTGCCCTGGGGCTCAACACTGACTCATATTGATTCCCTCCTGGTTTCTGAGACTGTAATTTTTAAGGGATTAGAAAGCCTCATCTTTCTTCCTTGGAGCGGCTGGAGGTTTCAAACGGTTGACCGTTCAGTTAGCAGTCCAATGTATATCTGCTACACCACCAGGGCTCCTAGCTACAAGATTACGGTCCCTCCTTAATAAGACAGGAAGCTAAGATTTGAAGAAGTTCATCAAGGTCACAGTGGCTCCCTTGGTCTGTCTGGTGGCAAAGCAAATCCTCCTGGCCACTATACATACCTCCTACCCTCTCTATATACCACTATACATACTTCCTAACCACTGTACCTACACTATACATACCACTATATGCTAGCTACATACAACGCTACTTCCTTGGTAAAGTTGCAAGGATGTTCTCCTATCATGAACAGCCCCTTGAAACTTTCCCGTGAGCCGATTAAAACTTCGGGGAATGTAAGGATCATCATCCAGCTAGCGTTTACTGGAAGACTGACAAGGCTTTACCTTGACGTTATTTTTGGTGTCCAGTCCCGTCATGAACCTCCCCAAGCTGCTGAGAAATCGATCTGCCGAACTGTCCTGTGAACAAGAGAGAGTGAGTCAGCTGTGATGGTTCACACAGGGAAGGGGCAGACTTGACTTTAAAATGTACAGAGAACAAGGCAACCCTGTGGGGAACACGGCAGGGTGCCTCCCTCGTCCACTGCAATCCCATGTGAACCCTGGTACAAATGGTCGCTGACAACCAAGTGACTGCTACTGCCATGTGCTGCAAGGCTCGAAGGAATCCTAGGGAAACCTCATGATTCAAAGAGCCAAGACGTTGACATGGGGCGACCAATGGTAGAAATTGCTCAGCGTGGCCCCTGGGCATCATCGCAAGAGCCACCACCACACTGTAGGTGCAGATGAGTCAGCTACATGGGAGCTCTGTGCTTTCCAAGTAGAGCCACAGACCCCAGACCACAGCGGTTCTCTAGGATCCTAGCGTTCATGTCATCGGACACCCCATGTTCTCACTGAAAACCAAGAAGGGAGGCGCAGAGAAACGAAACGGGTATTGATCCGATCTTGAAGACCAGCCCTGGCAGCTTTAAAAAACAAAAACAAAAAAGTGTGCTCCATTTCCAGGTGAGTCAGTTGAGGAAAATATATTTGAAGTCTGTGTACTGCCCCACTGACTGGATTCAGAATAAACTTAGTGATTTGGAGAATGTTTAAATCTCTGAAAGTGTTTCAAATGTACACTTTCACGCTTTTAGATATACCCTGAGTACTCTCAGCCGGGGTGAGATCACTCAGTGCCGATGATGACCTTTTATTCAAAAAGGGCTTGAAAGCCATGTGCTGCCAGGTGGTCAGATTTTCCTACTCAGTGTCCCCATCTACCTGCAGCTCTGGGGCCCATTTTTCTGGCACGCCTTAGGATGGATACTGTACCTTGGCCAGCTTCAAGTGTTTCTTCATTTGCTCGATGGCATTATTAACTTCTTCACTCGGAGGAAGTGCATGGGAACGGCTGGCGCCCAGGGAGAACCCGCCGTACCTAAAGAGCAGCATGCCATTGATGTACAGGTTAGGAGGTGTGTGGTGAGGCATCACTCAGCAGCAGGTGCCAGGCGTGTACAGGCGGCCTTTCGGAAAATCTCCTCCTCAAAGGAGGACCAAAGGTAGACTCGGGGAACTTTCTACCTCAGCCTCCTCCAGTGGGTTCCAGCAGCTGCTTAACTTTAAAGGTTTCTGCCCAGGGTGCTGATAGAAACTAAATGGGGTGGCCGGAGGGGAATTTGGGCCTGATGATATACAGAGTTAAGACTATAAGACACGGAGGAAAAATGATCATTCATCTTGCAGATGTGCCTCCTGGCCTGGCAGCTTGATCCTGAACTTGGGTCAGGAGCAAGCAGAGGGAGACTTAGGGTGAATGTTTCTGTGTGTTTTGGGGACTTGAGAAGAGGGGGCCACATAGAACTAGCTAGTTAGAGCTTGCTTTGGCTCATCCTGAGCCTAAGGGCCATTGCAGGCATCTGTGTCTGCTCTCATCAGGGTTCCACAAGTCCTGGCCACTAGGGGAAAAGGCAACGAGGAAAGCTGGAAAACAGTGACAAGTAGTCAGGTCCCCCAGGGAAACTGCCTACGTGATCTCATTGTCCAGGAGGAACAAAAGCCCTTCAAGGATTCTTCCCTCCCTCTTCCTTCCCTAGCCCCGCCTGGTCCTTCCCAACCCCGAGAGACTGGTAAGTGGAACTGGAAAGGAATGAGGATGACTACAGAGCTAGTCTTCTCGCTCCTCTGCAGGGACTCCTTGAACCCATATCAAAGGCCTGAAAAACTGTCTCCAGGTCACTAAGATCCTCCGGGAATCTGATTTGGGAGTGAAAGTTAACACTAGGTTAGGTATTCCCTTGATAATAGTACGCTTCCTAAGCAGCTCCCTAAGCAGCCCCCCCGAGATTTCTAAACTCCTCGAGGAAACCTGTTTGCCTAATACTTTAGAGGCCTCTGAAGTGACAGCTGGACACCCAGGGAAAAGGCTTAAACCCTGTGACAGGTGGGCCTGGGGCCTTTGCCCCACGGTGAGGCAGCACCTGAGAGTATGTGAGTTCCACACAGTCCCCAGTTCTCCATCCAGGATTCCTGCATCAAAATGAAACCCCCAAACTAGAAGAAGCAAGGAAAGCTGAAAGCTGAGTTCAACTTACCTAAATTCATTCACCCAGATCTTGTTCTTTAAGCTACAAACGACAAAGACAAAGAAACCACAATCAGTTCAAAGCCTTCGTCCCGCTCCTAATGAAGCAAAACGGAATACACATCTAGCTAAGGAAACGACAATGGGACAGAAATAATCCTAGGACCAGAGGGACATTGTAAGGTTCTGCCAATTGAATAGAAACTCTAATTAATATGACCTTTTATTCCTGTTCATCTTAAAATCATTTATATGAGAATCACGCTTTAGATTAATTGAAACAATTTAAAAACCACCTGTAGATCAAGAGAGGGTGCACATGACCATCAGCAGCACGTTATTGAAAACGTAACTTTCTCAAGTCGAAGGAGCCCTTCCAAGAGGTATGGCAGCAGAGTGGTGTCACGCCTCTTTTGTGAAAACACGCTGTCATTATCTTTGAACCATGCTTTGGTCCTACAGGGACTCCATGGCAGTGAGTGTAGTTTGGCAGGCGTCTGTTTACTTGTTTGTTGTCATTTAAGAAGCCCAGGTGGCACTGCTGGAGAAATCCTAAATCACTAGCGGTAAGATTGGTGGTTCAAACCCAACAACTGCTCTGTGGGTGAAAGATGAGGCTGGCTGTCTCAGAAAGATTTATAGCCTCGGAAACCCTATGAAGGGTACAAGTCCAAACTGATTCTATGGCAGTGGGTCAGTAGTCATTTGAAGTCATGAAGAAATCCTAATGGAAAGGCCCAGCAACCAAGTAGAATAAAAGGGAAAGTAGAATTTCAGCGTCGACTAGGTATTCAGCAGTGGACTGTGATGTTTCAGGAATCTGCATGGCTCTTCCACGAGCTCACACCCAGGGCAGGCTGCTGATTCAGCCGAAGGATCTGCTCATGATGTCACATAGTATCGTAGATTCCATCCATGAGAGACTATCCAAGACATTCGGTATTTTCGGTATTTATCATCTCATTTAAAGCTCACCACACGATTAGCACATTTTATAGAAACGTAGCTTTGAAAGGGCAACTGGTTGCCCCCCTACCAAGCTGCTTATAAGAGGCTGAATTCAAATTAGATTTATTTGCACTCTGACCCACAATACTTTTCATCATGCCTTCTCGTTTGGGACACGATCGTGACCTTCCAGGACACAGAAATAGCTCAAAGCTTGCTACTTCCCTGACCTCTCCAGTCTCCTCTTCTCAAATGTGAGTTGCTCTGAGCAGTGATGGGACACTTAAAACCACGTTATCGGGCTACTCACCTTTTGGCAATGATCTGCACATAGGTCTTCACCAGATAATCGGAAATGTTTCTTCCCGTCAGGTTCTGCAGGATGTCTGCCGTGTTCTGTCTTCTCTGTCACCACATAAAAACCAAGCACACGCGTCTTTATGAAAACAAATCAAGAACGAGAGTGGCACCTGCCCTTCACATGTGCACCACAGTGGGACAGGAGCCCAGGCTGTGGGAAACTGAGGACCAGGAAGACAGTGTAAGTGGGCAAGTTCTCTATGCCCATGATTGAAGAAGCGTGGGAGGCCAGGATTCTGAATGGTTAGAGGTCTTCACCTTTGTGAGTTGGAAAAGAGTCCCAGTCACATTCTCCTAATTACAAACCATCCCCACAATCTCCTCCCATAATAGTGCCACCTTAATGATACCTCTTACAAGCCCATGGCTGAGCACCATACAGTGAGGCCTTTATCTATAGGAGCAGATGTGTTTCTTTTGTTCTCTCTGCTCAGGGGGCAGGCAACTCCCTTCTGCTCAATCTCTGTGCTCCCTGCTCCCTGCTGAAGAGGTGAGTCCTTGGATGCCTGTCTGATGTCTGTAAAATTATTCACTTCAATTACACAGCCATCCTTTAGGACCCATCCGGTTGTAGGCTGGTTCCCACACTTGGCAATGGCCATTCACTATGGTAGGCCAAGCCTTCCCTGGAAAATGATTCTAAACAACTGAGCAGCATACATTGGAATGTGATTCTTTACAGTCACAAGTGGTTTTTTATGGAGAAGCATCTTTGACTCTATCTAGTGACTTTTTTTTTTATTCCTTGGAGAATGGTGATGAATAGATTAGCCATTATTTCAGAGATACAATCAGTTTCTCTTACATTTGCTTTTTCTCCCCCTACAACCAGAAGTCTAGAAAGACACAGAGAGCTAACAATAATAAACCTCTTCCTGAAGTTATTCTCAGAAAACATGACTCAGAACCCCTTCCGCACTCCGCATCTGAGAGTGGCTGAAGGTGACAAGACCGGGGGCAGTTTTCTGGTCTAGCCTCTCACATCCACACTTGAGGACAGGGCGCAGGGAGATTAAGTGGCCTGTCCAAGACCACCAGCTCATTTGTGGGAGAACTAGGAATGGAAGCCAGGTCTACTACTTCCCCGACTAGTACTTCTCCTGAGAGATCGCCATCGTAGGAGAAGCTTTAGTGTGTCTTCCCCAAGCCAATTGCCTACCGCGTTTTGCTTCCGTTTTAATTCGCACAAATATGTAAAACTGGGCTGGCTTTTCAAAATGCAGAAACATACTCCTTCAGATATAGAATGATCAGTCCACACTCCTGGCCCTCAAAGAACTGCATGTGTCTTCATATGCCAAAAATTAAGACCAAGGAGGAGATCAACCCCATTGGCATGATATCGCTTACATTCCCGATCCCCAAGCAGAAGCTACCGGGTCCCCAACTGCTCAGGGGCACTCTGAGAGAGGCTCACCTGTGGAGGAGGCAGGCCCCCTGCCCCCGCAGGACACACGGGCAGCATCTTCTTAATTTTGTCACTGCTACACTGGCAGGCAGGCGAAGGGCTCTCCATCGTCCAGTTCCCATTTTGGAAGAGGTCCATGATGGTCTGGGGGACTGAGGCCGTGGTCCACTCCTCCTCTCCCACCGAGCAGGGCATTTCTCTGCAAAGGAATGCCCAGGGAGGGTCATCCAAGACCGCCGGCTCTTCCCTCGTCTCTGGAGCCCAGGATTAGTAAGGAACTCCCCCAAACATCCGCCAATTCCCTCCTTATTTGGAAAAGGTAAGCACAATCCCATTTCACTGTTGCCGCCACAGCATTAGCAGTTGCAAAAGGTATACAGAGAAGGCCCTGGACCTCAAAGAAACCCTAATTGCTCCAATATTGAACATCATTCAATCCAATGAGCCCGCAGACTGCCAATCCCTCATTTGTTCACTTGACACGCATTCACTGAGCATTTACTAGGTGTCAGATGTGTGTAATTGAGAATCGGGGGTGAGCAAGATCGAGTACTTATTCTCCTCCCAGTGGAGAAGATAGACAAACAGACAAACAGATGAATCAAATAAACTTAACAAACAAACAAAACAAAACACCCCTACACCACTGGGGCTAATATAAATGTGGACAGTCAAAAATAAAGCAAGGTAAGGTGAGAGTGACTCTGAAGAAGTGGGGCTAATTTTGCTAGTAAATAGTTCCCTAAGGAGGTAATGCTGCAACAGAGAGCTCAACCATTAGAAGGTAGAAGCCAGGCAAAGACTTTGGAGGGGAAAGAGCCTTATACGAAGAGGGTTCAGGAACAAAGGCCCAAAGAAGGAATGAGCTTTCTCTATTCAAAACCAGCAGGAGAGTAGTGTGTGGAAGACAGTGAATTAAGAGGAAGAGTCATGAGCCGATAAGCAAGGGCCAGATCATGGAAACCAGGTAGACACTCTGAGTTGTATGCTCTCTGCGTAGAAGTCCGATGGAGAAGAACTGCAAGATCCAATATATGTTTTAAAATAAGTGGCAATCTGGGGGGAAAGAGCAATGAGGGGAGACCTCCTCTGTGCCAAACTGAATGCTTGGTGCATGAGAAACTAGGTATTTTGCAAGCATCTCAGGAAGCAAAAGACAAGACCTTTATCCCCTGGCTCATGCTATGAACTCTTATGTGTTCTTCAGTCAGTCACTCGGCCCCTCGGGATTTTTCTCAACAGGCAAAAGTATAAAACGATTTGTTTCAACAAGTTCCTTCAATTGTCCTTTCCTGTTCTAAAATTCTATGATTTATAGCAAGGCTAGTCTTTATATTATTCTTACATGTAATAAAAAAATCAAATGAGCAGTGGAATGCTGTCGAGTTCTTTCTTTAACTCATCTCCACTAAATGAAAAGGTCACACGAAGACATGCACTAAGTAAGACACAGCAGTCACCTGGGGCTCACACCGTAAAGCCTTCAAAACTGAGAGATGGAGACAAAATGCTACAAGTTAAATTCCACACTTTGACGGGGTCTCAATCAAATTTCTCTCAGTTCTATCACTTTTTAAAAAACTAAAATTCGATTTTCAGTTAAGGGTTTACAGAATGTTGGAAGGCCATTCCTTCAGGCTGTCTTTAGCAAATGCCCGGTGGTGCCTCCATGCTGTGAACCCTCTGATGCCAGGCTAGCTCTGTCAGCCCCCCCTACCACTGTGGCTTATAATACCTAGCCTGGCATCAATCCACGACTCCATCAGGTTCAGCTGGCAAGCTGTGAATCCACTTACTTACATTATCCTCTCATTCCATGCTTCTCTCTTGCCTGTAAAGTGTTTATATGAAACCCCATCAAAGGCACTATGAAATCCAGATAGGCGTGTCTGTGTCCTTGTCCACTGGGAACATCCTGCTCCTCGGAACCAATACTCACCACTCCGTAAGGACTAATGAAAATGTAGTGACTGTTCATTTAATAAGAATGAACCAGGGCCACCATAACTTGGAATCTTAACAGCAAAGGCTTTCAACAAGGGACCTCGTAACTATACATCTGAAAATCTCCTCTGGAACTATGCATGTCTGGTCACCACAGTCTTTGCTCTGCCTCTTCCAGGATCAGCCGTCTTCCCCTCTCTAATAGCTGAAATTCACATGGCTTTCTCTAATCATCCGGCAGCTCCCTGCTGCTCTCAGAGATCCCCGTGGTTTAGACACCTCAGCTGCAAAATCAGTCCTGAGACTAGACACCAGGACCCACTGCCCCAGCCCTGGGCTCCCGCTTAAGCTTCTCAGCTCTCTTCACACGATGATCCCCTGACATACCTTTAGCCACACACTTAAGGTCATATGATTATTTCCCTGACTTTATGCCATGCCTACTTAAAGTATATATAGGTAAGTATGTAAAAAATAGGCAAATATCAAAGTGTAAAATGTACATTTTGTGAAAATTAATATGTCATCTTGTTGTTAAGTTAAAGGATTTGATGAGCTAAATTGCAAATGTCGCAGAATGGCAGCCTGTTCCTGTGCGCACAATTACAGGGTTGCTGGATGGGAGAGAAGGGGAAAGGATTTGACCACTAAGTGGAACGTGCTACTCAAGTTAAATATTAAGTCTCTAAAATAATAAATAATATCTATAATGATTTATTCCAAAGGACATTAGAAGACACACCAAACACCTGTTCCTACATAGTTTGGTGAGGCTACTATACTATATTTCCTGTGCTCTTTCCTTTAAGATAAAGAATGATTCAAAGGAACAACTGGTAGCCGTCAAAAGGTGGCGCGCAGCAGATCCATGCAAGGTGTGGAGATCAGGCCAGGCAACAGGCACAGGAAGCTGGCCACGGCGGGGCTCCAGGCTGAAAATGGAACTCACGGAATTGGGTCCCCTTCCATGCATCGGGTGCCGAAGCCAGGGTCCTTAGTGAGGGCATTCAAGAGTTGCTGGGTGCTCACATCCTCAGGAGCATCATTACTGCATGGGGAGCCAGAAAACACAAAAAAGGATGAGTTTAAGTTACAAACACAAACCAAGCCCATACTCCATAAGCCTATGTAATACAGGGTCAGCAAGTGGGAAAGGAAGGAGTAAGTAAATTATTTTCTATGTGAAGTGTAAGAAGGATGCATGTTTAGAGAGAAAGAGATCATAACACACACACACACACACACACACAAAACCTTCCCTTCAATATCGCTACCCTTTTCCCCAACCCAAGGCCTACATAAAAATACCTGCCTAACAAAGCGTAGAAATTCCTTTATGCATGAAGCGTTGGTTTATTAAAAGTTAGAGTATTTTTGTCTAAAGAACAAATACTAGCTAGAAAATAAAGATATGCATTGCACTGTGCAGAAAATAGAGGTTAACTTTTTTTGAAGGTGGTATGGTTTACCAATATAATATATGGAAATTGTATGAGTCAGCTACAAAGTTAAAACACAATTATGAAAATGCAAATATATTATAACTTAATGGTAAATTTAGTGAGAGTAGATTATTCTTCCTAACCCACAGCAGCCTATCCCTGACAAGATAGTACCAAGTGGAGAGGGACTCAAAGAGGGGATCGAGGGCTGGCCTATTGGTCCAGGTCTGTCCACTGCTGCTCTTTACATCTGATATGAGCCTGGGGTATGTGGGTGTGGTTGTGCCTAGTCACAGCTGATAGAACCATTCTACTGTGTGATCCTCCAATCCAACCCCTGACCCCCTGATGCTCAGCACAGGGAACACGGCCTGAGCACTGCTCTCTGTGGGTTCAGAGGGCACACACACACCTGACAAACGTGTACTGCTCATTGTACATCCAAGGCTGCAGCTCCAGGTTCGGGTACTTGCCAAAGGGCGGCACAATCAAGCTGAATACCAGGGCGATGCACACAAACACAGCTGGCAGCACAATCTGTAACGCAGGGAAAGGGGAGAAAGGGGACGATCATGGATTCGCGAGATGGCGAAGGGACATGTCTCGACAAGTCCAGGAGCTTCCCAGAGCCACCTGCACAGGACTGTGGAGTCAGCGCCCACAGCCAAACCCCCACAAGGTGTGTTTTATGTTGTTTTCTGAGCAAACAGGCAGGAAAATACCTACAAATTCCACAGTTCCTACATAACAGTTCAGTGAAGTTGGGCGACCAGTCATGCTCTCCCTTCCCGCTCCTTCATTAGCATGAACTCACTGCCCTACCTAAGACTGCTATCTAACTGTGTCACTTACTGTTTTCCATATTATGGCATACATACTTTTTTTCCCCCTTAAAAGAGCACAGTACTCAAAGCAAACTTTTTTGCTACCTCAGCGTGGTTCAGTTTTAAGACGACTGCAGGGCAGAGTTGTGGTGAACATTTCAGGGGCAATACCCTCCACGGTTCCAGAAAGTCTAGAGTTGAATCTCTAGATCACTCCAGTAGTACTGACCTCTTACCGACATTAAGTCTTCAAATACCTGAATATAGAACACCATCCCATTCATGGAAGGCTCCTTTAATCTTTGTCAATTGTACTGTGTACATTTTTGTGTCCTTGGTTAGATCAAGTTTCTGATTCATTCATATGTCAAGTGGATCTGGCACAACATCTTGCATTTCAGAAGTTGAATTTGCAAAGATAGTTTTTCTAAATGTTCCTAAACTGGTTACACATCTTTTACAATCCAAACACTAAAAGTCTTTTTCAAAATCCTCAGTACAACCCTATGTCACAATACTGTAATGATCCCTATTTTACAGGGGAGAAAAATGGAAGCAGAAGTCATTTGCCAGGAAATACATGACTGGCAGGAAACAGAACTGGGATAGAAAAGCAGATTATCCAGCCCCAACACCCATCTCTTAACAATGATGCTCTCTCCAGCCTCTGAGGGTCAGGGAGCCTGCAACCAGCCCATAAAGCCTGAGTTCTGGAGTGTGGCAATTACATAATCTCCTGTCAACTTGCAAAGGGGGGAGTTTAGCCTGTCAATCAGGTCACAGCTTGATGACCTCATTGTGAAGGCACAACAGAGATATATATAGCTCACTGGAGGCCAGAAACACGCTCACTCTGCTACACGTTCCAGTTGACAAACCACATGGAGTTACACTGATGGACCCAGAGCCCTGGTGCTAGAGGAAGCATACAGGGAGGCCTGCCAGCGCTGAGATGCTTCCACTACCACTGGATCCACAAGACTTTTCCACCCACCGGCCTGTGATCTTCCTGCATTCGTCGTCATTGCCTGTGTTGTGTGAGTCTGAAGAGGAATTTATACCCTGGTATCGGACATATGAGCTAATATCAGACTTATGGACTTGATCTGGACAGGGCTGGTATATTTTCTTAACATATAACTACTTTTTGATATAAAGTTCTCCCTTAACACATAGGAGTATGTATGGATTTGTTTCTCTAGTCGACCCAGATTAACCCACTGAGTGTACCCAGCACTTCTCACCTGAGCAAAGAATCCCTTCCGACTCCTCTTGGCAATCAGCAGCCTCTTCCACAAAAGAGCCACAAACTGTTGCTGTGTGAGTTTCCAGCCCTTCACCTGGTAAGAGCCCTTGCCATCCATGCCACTGAGCAGGTCTGTTTCTCTCGATTCTGTAGAAGCCCAACAGGGAAGGTCATCTGTCATCTTAGACATGTTCAACATTGCCATGCCCACCCTCCAACATCTTCAGCAACCTCCTTGGAGGCTCTCGCTTGAAGCTAAATGTGTCTCAGAAGTAAAGGGCTTTCATGACAAACGCATGTTCAAGAGAAAGGTATGAGCCTAGAGACTGAATGGAAGGAGCCGCTGCCTTTGAGTTTTTGTCTAACCAGAGTAGAAAATCAAGGGACACAAACATGAGTGTCACATCACCATCCAGGTAGATCAAGTCAGCCTCAGTGTCTTAAAGAATATTTTATGACACAGGCCATGTATGTGTGCTGACCTACTTGAGAACCTACCACAGCGATTTCTCCCCCATCCGGCATGCTTTCAGTTTTAAAAGGCGAACATGTTTCAAATGATTTCTAAGTAGTCACAATAAAGTCAAAGGAAACATAAGACATGCACACTCATGACAAGTGATTAGGAGGGCAAGATAGGTTTTGATTCCTAAAAAAATTTACACACATTCTTGTCTTAAGCTCATGATTGCTAACAGAGGTACCCTGGCATCTTACCAATATTTGCTAGATTTCTTGCCTTCCCACTGCATGCTGGTCAGATACACAAGGGCACATATAGACCAAATATCTAAGTCCATAAAAACAATTCACCTCTCAGAATCTTTCAAAATCATCCCTCCGTCCAATATATATCTATTCAACCACTAAGCCTGCAATAGAGCAGCCCTGGTGGCATATCAATTACAAGTCTGACTGTTAACCACAAGGTCAGGAGTTCAAAACCACCAGCTACTCTGAGGGAGAAAGACTATATGCTTTCTAATCCCATAAAGAGTTACAGGCTCAGAAATCCACAGGGGCAGTTCTGCCCTAGTTCTATAGGGTTGCTATGATTCAGCATCAGTTCGATAGCAGTGACTTTGGTTTAGGTTGGAGCGCTCCAATACATATATATATGAAAGTGAGACCCCCCCAGAAAAGAAACTCCTTGGGTTCCCAGGGGTGAGGGGACATGTGATGATGCTGGGAGCATTCCTTTGTACACACACTCAAGCCGGGGAAGGACAAGTGGCTCCTCTCGTGTTCCTTCTCCCCTCGGTCCCCTCCAGGGATCTACCATCCTGGCACGTGAGAAAAACCGAGAATAGCCCTTTCCAATGATGGCATGCAGACCTGGGTCGATGTCAGAATCATTGGGGTCCACACCATCGTCTTCTGTAAATGGACGGAGACAGCTCTGCCTGTCCCCAAAGGCCCGTCTGTTCCGTCGTGCCGGCAAGGTGCCATCTGAAGGCCAAGGGAAGGTCGTCCACGTTTCATTTCATTTCATTTCATTTGGAACAACAACAACAATAACAAATCCTCTCCCCACCCCCACCCCCCACCCCCTCTACTGCAAATCTATATGCTATAAATGAGAATGGAATAAAAGCATTCCAGGAGAAATGCAAAGCGCTGGTTATATCTGGCAGCCTCTAGGGGGCACTACCTACAGAGCAGGCAACTCCTCGCAGAGGTTACCTGAGGTCTCGGCATCCACTCCACTCTCTTCAGCCACTTTGAGGAATATCTGAAAATAAGAGCAGGCGTGATTATAAGTACCAACACGATGAATGTAGCCACGGTTACTGCATTATCACGTGGCTTGTTAGCCCTTTAGGACAAAGGAACTAGAAGCCCACATCTATTAATGGCACTTGGCCAGAGTCACTGGGGAGAAAAGCCATTTTCGCTCGAGACCATTTCTTCCTCGGCGCCGAGAGCTATCAATCCAGATAATCATTTTCAAATTAACGCTGCGACAGGAGGGCAGAGCAGCAACAGCAGCAGCAATTTGCTCTGAAGCTACAGGGCTTCCTCCAGGTCTGCGGCCCCAAATCTCCGAGCAGGTTAGCACTGGGGCAGGTTAGTTAAGGTGGAATGATCGAGAGGCCGTGGGTTCTCCACAGCCTAGAAATGTCAGGCGCAAACCACGGCGGAGAGCTGAAGACGAGACGAGCATGTGCACCAGACCGCTCTCGCGTCTACAGACCTCGGCAAGGCAGAGCCACGGAAGAAGCATGACCCACAGACACAGACTCCAAGCCTCTAACTCGTCATTGTCTGGATGATCCTCCAGAGGTTTCTGTTGCACCATGGGAAACCACTCGGCCACACAATTTCCCTATCTGCCCCCTCTAGCCCAAGGGGCTGCGATATTCTGCCTTCAAAGGAGGCCCTCATGAGCAATGAGGAGAGCGTGGGCCTCACAGCCCCAAACACCGAGCTCTGAATCTCAACATCTCTGAGGGCCAAATTATCTCACCTTGTTCTGAGGATTACATGAGGTTACAAGGATTATTTTTACAATACCAACAACAAAAATCTCTAAGCTTGCACAAACACGCTCAAACCAAACTCAACAGCCACTGAGTCGATTCTGACTCACAGCAACCCTCCAGGACGGAGCAGAACTGCCCCTGGGGGGCCTGAAACTGTACACCTTTACAGAAGTGGAAAGGCTCCATTTTTTTCTCACAGAGTGGCTGGTAGTTTTGATCTACGAACCTTTTTGTTAGCAGCCCAAGGTATAATCCAAAATTATACCACCAGGGCTCCTGCTAGGGGGTGTTAAGAATTTCATGAATGGAAAGATACTGATCTTTTTTTACAAACTTTCTGAAGCCCTCTGTTTGTTCCCCACATATTTTCCAAGCACAAGGATCCAGTCGACAGCTGAGCACGACACAACTACACCAAGAAAAAAAAACAAACTTTTTTCCTGTTATCTCCTACTACCATCTTAAAGAGTAAAGGGATCCAACATGACCAGTGCCATTGACCTGAGAACCCAAGAGCCAGCTCCATGGGGAACCTGTTCCCAGCAGAATGCAGGCTGCGTACCTGGCCTTGGGAGTGACTGTTGGCTCTACTCTATCCTGACATCGAGCCACGGCACTTACTTCTTCCAGGGTTGTCTCTGAGATGCCGTAACTGGAGATGCCGAGGTCCGAGAGCCGGTCGTCAATCTCATGGAAGAGCTCCACGAAGGCTCCCTCTTTGGCAGCTTCATAGGGCAGCACGTAGGTCAGCTCGTGTCCAATGTCTTCCACCAGCCGGGCCTCCGCCACATGCTTTCTGATGAGGTTGGAGATAGCAGAGACATCTGCAGGGACACGAGGCAGGAACAGCTCAGGCAGCTCAGAGACCACAAAGCAAGGTCCAGCTGGGCCCTACCTTCACACACTCCCCCACCCCAGATGCTTCAGTCACGTCACATGTTCGTGGCCTGAGAGCTCCTGAAGGCAAGTATTACTTCTTATTTACTTTTGCGTCACCCAAAGCCAGGCACCCGGAAGGTACTCAATGCCCTGCAAATGGGGAAAGTCTTGAATGACTCTGGTGCCACGTGCTACCAGGTCAGGCATCTTTGTCGGAAAACGTGAGCAGAGGAACCTTTAAGAAGTCTTTGTTCTCACCTAAACTTTTAAAGAAAGTTCTGGCTCCCTCAAAAGAGGGTGACTACAACAGTTCACGGAAACAGAAGTCTTCTTGGGAACAGCCAGTCATTCGGACAGGCCAAAGACAGTTTCTGTCAAGGGTTTTTGCTTCACACTTGTTACTGGTGGCACGCTTGTCCTGAGGAAACCCTGTCGAATGTCCCTGATCTCCTGGCCTCTCCCCCTCCTTAGGTACTCAGTTCAAATCCCTCTGCCACTGGCTTGGCCCTCAGCATCACCACTGTCTCGACACTCAGTCCTTTCAAAGTTCCTCCAAAGTCCCCACCCCCACCCTCTCCCTTATCGCACCAATCTGGAAGGCTACCCTGCCAGCTCCCAGACCAAGACCAAGCGCCAGGCTCCCCAGCAAGCATGAAGCCAACCCTGCCACCAAGCTGCACCCGCTCCCACAGCCACCCAGCCCCAGCCCAGCAGCAAACCTTGAGTCCGCACCACCAGCCTCTGCACCTCTCCTCCTCCGCCTCCACTCTGCCCAGCTGGGTGTAGCTCAGGCACCACCTGAATAAGAAACCCCAGAGTCCTTACCGATGGTCAGCGTGTCACTTTCATGGTCGCTGCCCAGGCCAGCATCAGAACTGCTCTGAGAAACACTGTCCTCCTGATGGCAAAGAAGGAGGTGAGAATGGGTAAGGGACCGGGCAATGGGACAGGTGCCACCACCACTGATGGAGAAGCTTGCTAAGGGGCTCGGTTTGGTAAGACAAGGAAAAGAAAGCGTATCTGCTTGGGCATGCAACTGGACAGCATGTCTCCAGAGGCCACTATTCAACATGGGTGTGCTCTGTGAACAGACTAACCTCCTGGAGACAGCCAGCACAGCATCACAATAGAAATATGTCCCCTGATCAATGACGTAGCCAGCCATTTGCTGACTGTCTCAGGCCTGGCATGTACCTGGCCAGAGGGCTAGTTTAGTGCTTCACTAGCTTTAACAGTGGTTAGGGGCTCTTAAAGGAGATTTAAAGGATCAAGGAGAAAGAATGGCCAGGCATTCCTCCGCCCTTGCTCTTCCTTTTCCTAGGGGGGTGCCTACCCATTGGGATGCTAGCTTCAAGGTCAGCCAAAACCAAGGTCGACAAAACCAGCTGCTCCAAGGGAGAAAGACAAGGCTTTTCTACACCTGTCCGCAGTTCCAGTCTCATAAGCATCGACTCCGTGGCACGGAGAAGGACCTCTTCCTTCACGCACCAGCTCCCACTGGGAGAGAAAACCACTGCACTCAACTGAGATCACACAATGGAAATGGAAGGGCCATCCGCCTGCCTTGTCCCAGGAAGGGTGTGATGTGAGAGAGGGCGGGACAGGGGAATGGCTGGCCTCCACAGGGCAGGATGGGGTGGAGGACAGACCATCACAACAGTGAATCCAGAGTCCCTGAGCCCAGCACGGCTCTACTGCTCTTACCTTCTTCAGGTTTGACACGGTGCTGCTGCTGTTTCTGCAGGAACCGAGAGAGGACTCCACATCCTTCTTGACCAGGGTCAGGTAGTAGCCTGTTCCCAGCTGGTTCTTCAGGAACAGGGAGGAGCCCACACAGCACAGCTTCCCATGGGAAATGATGGCAATCCTGTCCCCCAGAATGTCTGCTTCATCCATGTGGTGTGTGGAGAGAATAATGGTGCGGCCTGCCAGGCAGACACAAGGATAGGGTCGGATGAGGCCTGTCCACTCGCAGTGAAAGTGGTGGCAGCCGCTACAACAGTGAACATGGGAGAAAGCCCTGGAAATTCCCTTCAACACTGTGTGGCCATGAACCCTAGAATGGCAACACCTGTGTGCAGGCAGCTAGAGCGTCCTCACAGAAATCAGAGCGGCAGCATTCACATGGGGACTTGCTGTTTGCCAGGCACTGGGCTAAGTGGTTGACATGCATTCTCATGTCACTTAGTGAGGTACGCATGTTTTTAAGTAAGGAAAAGAAGGCAAATGAAGCAATTCTCCCGAAGTCTCAGGAACACTCAGGACTGGCTGAAAAGTTCTACTATACCCAAATATCTCTCAAAGTAGATAACCAACTATGTTATCTTCTTCTCCCTTCCATTTTTTCACCTATGCTTTTGACAAACATGAACTAGCTGTACTGCGTTAGGGATGAAGACATGAACAAGAGACACAGGAATCTCAGGCTATAGGGCACATGATCACAATAAATGCGGATAGGTTCTATGCTGGGGTGGGCACTGGGTATCAGGGAAGCCCAAAGGGATGCCCTTTATCCTGTTGCTAATCTTGCAGCACCCTAAGTAGCGAGGGTAAGACTTAGGTGCCTTGTAACTCAGGCCTCTCAGCTCCATCCCTCAGTGGGCACTGAGTGTTAAGAAAACCCTCCTGGAGAAGCAATTCCATTGCCCTAGGAAGGGCAGCCATGAGATGCAGCCGTACTTCTCAAGAGCTCCTCCCTCCACCCGGTCCAGGACTCAGAGTAAACACACATCAGTTACCTTGTCGATATTTCAGCAGCAGCTCCCATATCCCTCTGCGAGAGTAAGGGTCCACACCAGCCGTCGGCTCATCAAGAATGACAACCTTGGATCCCCCCACGAAAGCCAAGGCCACAGATAGCTTCCTCTGCATTCCCCCTATAATAGCAAGAGAGCGAGAAGCTCCAGGTGCTGGTCCAGACAGAGTAGAGACCGAGGCAGGATAAGACAAACGGAGACGTCCATCTCGGGGCACACCCGGTCATGTTTCTGTTATCAACCCGATCACCGATGCCGAGACCATGGGACAGCTGATATTTTTCGTGGGTGTGTGTGTATTGATGATGTAGGGAGGGGTGTGTGGACAGCAGAAAGGTAGCTCTGGCACTCACCTGACAACTGACTTGTTTTACTTTTCAGCTTGCTAGGTGGCAGCCCCACATCCAGGGCCATCTGCTCCATCTCCACTTTCACGTGCTTCTCGGAGAGCCCTTTCAGGCAGGCGTAGAACCAGATGTGCTCTTCGACGGTCAGCCTGGGGGCAGAAGAGCCATGGGCTCAGGGCAGTGTCCTCTGCAGGATGTCCCACAACACAAAACTTTGGGCTCAGAATGGGAGAGGGCAGGCCCTTCTCTTGTTTTACTGGTTCAGCTGCTGAGAAATGACTCCCAGAAGGAGTCAAGGTAGATCAGCAGTGAACAGCCACATGCGCTCAGGAAGCCAAAGCTGAAATGTCACAGGTCACTTCCAGCCTCCTCTGAGCAAGGGCTAGGTGCACTGGGCACCATGTATCAGACACCTGCAGCTATAAGTTGTAGGCTCAAAGAGCTGGTATTCAAAGGACTCTCCCCAGAGCCCGATCAACCTAGTAGCTGGTTCAGCAGAAAGCTGGAGCAGCCCTACTGAAGTTTAAAGCACCTAAGGCTCAGAAAGCAGAGGTTGTGTGTGCAAATTCGCCCGGACCCCTTAACCTTAGGGAAGAGGAAGTTGGAGCCTGGAGAAGAGACAAGCTTTGTCCACAACCGTAGAGCTCAGGCCCTTCTCAGCTCCACCCTGAGGGCTCTGTGGAGGCCCTGCCTGCTGAAACAGCAGCCTGAGGAGGAGCAAACCTCTTGAGCAAAGAAGACAGGACATTGATAGGAGGGTCCAGAAGTACTGCCAGGTTAGAGAGGGTTGTGGGAGCTGCCAATGGCATGAGGAGGGCGCATTGGGTAGAGGCTGGGCCAAAAGACCCCAGGAAAACAAGAAATGGAGATCACCATTTCCCCCAGGTAGACTAAAACAATATGGCCTACCCAGCGCTCACCTCCTACTGTTGCTAAAGTCAAAGGGCAGGCAGATCTCCAAATGTCCAGGGCAGTGCGGCCTACCACCCCACGGTGATCTCCTGGCTGCCATGAACCCACCACACACACATTCATTCAGAAAGGGCCTCCTCCTCCCGGCTTGGGGCTGGTACTCACATGTCAAACAGCACATTATGCTGGGGACAGACGCCCAGGTTCTGCCGGATGGTGCTCATCTCGGAGCGAATGTCTTTCCCCAGGATGTAGGCAGTGCCCGAGGTAGGAGGGAACAACCCAGTCAGGATTGACCTGAGGACAACATTTGAAAGCACAGGAGTCAGGGCGATGCTACCTCCTGCCCTCTGGACGCTCTGTTCCGGGGGCAGAGTTAGGACAGGCAGAGCAAAGGGTGCTAACCCCCTCACTCTCCATCCTTTCTTAATGGATGCCAGTGGGCCCTCGGGTGATGAGGATGAGGTGTAAGGGTTGGAGGTGGCAACTTCAGTGCAAGTATGTCTTTAAAAGTACATTCCAATTTGCCATGGAACATGCACTTTAAAACACCGATTTCGTGGGCTTAAAAGTCATCCAGAAAAATTGGTAACAAATTATTCAAAGCTAAAAATAATTCTTGTGTTAGATGGTAGGATTTTTGAGTAACCTTTTACATTTACAATGTGCTGACTCTATTGATTTCACTTTCAAAATGTAAAAGGAAAGCGAAACAAGACATGATAAGTGTCACTCCCAAGCATGTCCTTTGAAATGGTGTGAAGGGACCACACGAGCCCCAGAGGTGAACTCGGGTATTCTTTGGCCTGAGGAGATGGTGACCTCCTCAGCTGCCCATTACAGGGGCCTGTCGGTCCCACGGAGGGCAACCAGGGGAAGCTGCCAGTTGGTCCTCACATCTGCTTAAAATCAGAGTTCCTGCAAAATCAACACCTCCTTCCAACATAACTATTCTTTCCTTTCTTTCCCCCAGACCAGTGGTTCTCAACCTGTGGGTCATGATCCCTAGGGGGTCAAATGACCCTTTCACAGGGGTCACCCAATTCCTATTGGTGTAGCAAAATTACAGTTAAGAAGTAGTAACGAAAATGATTTCATGGTTGCGGGGCGGGGTCACCACAACAAGAGGAACTGTAGTAAAGGGTGGCGGCATTGGGAAGATTGAGAAGTACTGCCCTAGACCCTTGCTTCACAGTTCCGACCACATCAGCTTAAAAGGCAAACCTATCTCTGCGCTGTCCTGGACTCACTTCCAAGAACGTAGTACAATTCTGAAACCACGTGAGAAAGACAGCCACCAGGCCCACAGCCTGTGGCAGCCTGAAGAAATCATTTAAAAGACACTTGGAAAGCATTGTCATAACGAGGAAATATTTGGACACCCATCAAATCCTGTGTCTTCTGCCCTTGTTCCCAGTGGGGCAGACAATTTCTGCAGGGGTACACTCCTCACTATTCCTTCTCTGTGGTGCATTCCGGGAGGGCGCGCCATCTTCTTACATGGTCGTGGTCTTCCCCGCTCCATTGTGGCCCAGGAAGGAGGTGATCTGGCCCTCATAGAAGTTCAGTGCCAAGCCATCGACTGCCACCTTCATGCCATCTCGGTAAACCTTCACCAGGTTCTGGATGGACACACCCAGCTTCAGGTGCGTGGGTTCCTCCTCCATGCGGACTGTGAGAGGAGAGACGAAAGGAATGAACCCACAGAAGATGCTGCGAGGACCCTGGGGGCGGACTGGGATGTCAGTCAACCGGCCTGCCTGCTCTCTGTGGCCGCTTCTGCTCTCTCAAGCAGGCAGGCAAGTCACCAGTATTTATTTCGGTTAATTATCTGAGCACCAGCGATGGGCACACAATGATAAAGGGTGGCGCGCGATGGAGACCCAATGCCCATCTCTAGACAACTGGACATACCTTGCAGAGGGGGAGTGGGGAGATGAGTTACTTAGGGTACAGTATAGCAATAATGAAACTC